AAATATCTGATTTTAGGCTAACCAAATTATGTTCTAAATCAAAGTATAGTGTCAATAACTAATGCCAGAGGTACTTTTGGCTATATGGCTCCCAAAGTATTCTCTTAAAACTTTGGAAATGTGTCTCGCAAAACCAATGTTTATAGTTTTGGAATGCTTCTACTTGAAGTGATAGGGGGCAGAAGGATCACAAATGATGCAGAAGAAAATGCAGCACACATCTACCATCCTGAATGGATCTATAATATTTTAGAAGGAAGGGAAGATATAAGAATTCATATTGAGGAAGAAGAGGATGGGGCTGTGGTGCATCTAATGGCATGCTATGGATCGACCATCAATACGGGTGGTGGTTCAAATGTTGGAAGGACAAGGAGACAAATTACCAATACCTCCTAATCCTTTTGACTCTGAAGGTCCTTCAACAAGTATAAGAGCCAGTGAGCCTGCTAGACGGGTGATGCAAAGTTTAGAAATAATCCATGAAGCAGAGTGAGAGTTAATAAATGTCAAATATTAATATTGGTTTTCCTTCTGATTAGTGAGCGTGGTTCTGTCATTGTTTAAGTTTGTAGTTTTAAGTCTTCAGTCACTCGAGTATATATAGAAAATGCAATATGTAAATATATGAAAGCCTTGCTAATTATTTATATGATCAATATTTATTTTCTTTTTGAGATGGAGATGCCAATAAGCTAGGAACTCTTTGGTATCGACTTGAGGACCTTGGATCGTGTTGCTTTTCTCTCTGTCTCTCTCTGAGTTTTTTGGTGCATAATAATCTGAAAATTAGCATGTAGCAGTCAAATTCCTAAGAGAGTCCTCAATTCTGGACTATTTTTTTTCCTCCAGTTAAGCATATGTAAAGTGCTATGAAGAATATATTACATCTGATCTGAATCCTGATGTTTTGAGCTCAAATGTAGACTAACTGTATCTATAGGTTGTATACTGTTTCATGACAGAGTGTAGCTTAGCATTGATACTTGGGAGAGACTCTTAGCGACATTTTATTTGCAAAACTAAGTAGAATAGACTTGAAGTGCATGTTAGGATATTTATATGAGTATTTATTACGTATTAGTTTAAATCTATTTAATATAGAATGGATGCTTCCAAACAATTTTGTATAATTCATTTAGGAATGCTTTAAAAAAGAACTTGGCCCATTGGCAATATTTTTTGATCGTTTCTGCTGCATATAAAAATAACAAGTGTTATCCAAAGAGACATAAATCCTGCCAATGCCAAATAACCGAGAACAACAAAATAATGGATTACGTAGAAAGCTTCATACCGTGAGTCATTAATGATCCGTGTTGCTAAGATCCTAATTCATTCTACAATGTCTAATGCATAAGGAAACTCAACACGAAGGCCTACCACAGAAACAAACCATGCTGACCTGTTTGGCCAAAAAAATAAAACTGTATTGATCTAACAAAAGGAAATATTCTTATTCATAATTAAGAACCTTGCAGAAATGTTTGGAGAACTATAAACAATGCTATGATGATCTTCCATCTTCTTGAGCTGAAAATGAAGTTGTTTCTCTATAATTACTTACTAATTGATCACAGGATGACACTATCGAACTTGAATGGTTACTAACATCAACATTGGGTACATCTTGTGGATAAAAATAAGGCTTTTGAGGCATTTCTAAGTCATTCTCCTCCCCCTCAAGCATCTCTGCAACTTTGTTCATTGAAGGACGATCATTTGGCTTAGTTTGGATGCACCACAGTCCCACAATCATCATTTTCCTTGCCAACTTCATTTCTTCTTTCGTTGCATTTTCTATATTAATCTCATTTCCTTCATTTAATTGATCATAATTCCAAAAGGGGAAGTAAAAATGACTTGACTGTGCAGCTAACACATTTAGATTCTTTCTTCTACCAGCAATATCCATTAATAACTTCCCAAAACTATACACATCGGCTTTGTTAGAGATCCCACCCACGTTTCTATAGAAAAGTTCAGGGGCCATGTATCCTATCGTACCTCTTGTAGCTGTGAGTGACACAATGCCATCACTAGTAGGGTAGAGTTTGGCAAGGCCAAAATCAGAAACCTTAGGGATGAAGTTCTCATCAAGAAGGATGTTGTGTGGCTTTATATCAAAATGCAAAATTTAAATGTTGCAACCTTTGTGAAGATATTCAATACCATGAGCTACTCCAACAGAAATGGCATACAACTGATGAAGATCTAAGGATTGCTCGTTGTCGTGTTTAGAAAAAATGTATTTGTCAAGAGATCTATTTTGCATGAACTCATATATAAGAGCACGTTTCAATCCTTCCACACAATAACCAATAAGTTGCACAACATTCATATGGTGGATTCTACCAAGTGTAGCAACTTCATTTATGGATTCTTGGTTATCAGCTTTGGCCTTATCCAACATCTTGACAGCTACCTCACGACCACTTCGAAGTTGTCCTTTGAACACAGAGCCATAACCTCCTTTCCCGAGTTTGATTTTAAACCCTTTTGTCATCTTCTTGATTTCTCCATAGGAGTACGTCATAGGCATGATATTGTTGTCACTTTGCAAAAAATTCTTCAATGTTGTCATACATTGATAAATGTCTCCGCAGACAGTTATAGATCAGAAGGGCAATGACAAATGGAGTCCCCAGAATGATTTTACCAAGAGTATGATAAACTATTCATTAAAATTTAATATTTAGAACGTACCCTTGAACTAGTACTTCATTATTAGTGCTTGGCCAGTTATTAAACTATCCATATTCACACTCTTATGAATTAGATAATTCTGTTGGAGTAGTCAAAGGATTACCTAATATAGTGTGTACGTAGTCCACAAGATCTGAAAAATAGAGAAAACAAAAACTAATATTAGCTTCCGTTAAGAGAAAATAACTGTAATGTTAAAAAAGTTAGTGCCACATATTGAATAAGTTGTCAAGTCGTCATGTTAGTATGAAAGTGAGCTCTTGGCATTAGCTGTTTCCTTCACAATGTATAAACAATTATCTATACATCGTATAAGGAAAATGAAATAAAAATGCACTATTATTCAATAAAGATTATAATAATTAAATGAATATGTCATAAAAATTATTTGTGAAAGGGGAAAAAGGTTGATGTCTAGGACAAATCTTTAACAGTAAATTCATAGAAGTTTTATACATGAGCAGCAGAGATCTCTGACTTTCTTTTTTCTGTGAGATTCCCATTACAGTGCAACTTGCAAGGATGTGTTATGCAGGAAGGAATCAAATAAGTTAGAAGTTATGATGGGGTGCCTTACCCTGGATAATCGAAAGGATCATTTTAAAAATGCTACTTGTTGCTGCTACACTAGATAAACAAATGTATTAGTACAGGGATATGGTATATATATTTTACTGCTAATATGCGGGCAAAAAATATATATATTACAGCTAATATGATAAAGATTGAGATTTTATTCTGTCTGCGTGTTGCTAGCTCTTCACTTTTAAATATTTAAATTTTTTTTATGGATTAAAAAAATTCAAATAGAAAAGCATTCTTTTCAAAATACAAGTAATATCTTCCAAATTTGTCAATAGCAAAAAATAGTCATCTCAGTGTCCTAAGGGTAATGGATAGACTCCTATTAAAAAATAGTCACCTCTGTGTGCTAAGGGTGATGAATATTCCTATTAACTAGATATTTTATTGCTTTCTTTATTTCATATACAAACCAAACGAATTCAATTTCATCCACACTAGTTTTTTAATTATATTTTTTATTTTAAAAATATGTACGATAACAGTGGAATGCATATGATACACACCCTGAACCAAAAAATGATATATTTTTCCCAAAAAATGGTTTTGTACCACATGTATAATATTATTAGCAGCCAGAATTGCATCAAAATTCAATAATGGACCATCAACGTAAGCAGGAAAAAAAAATTAATGGACTTACCTATTTGACAGCGTGGTTTCTCACCACCGACGCCGAGAATTATTTCATAATCATGTCCAGAATGTGGGCAGAAACTATTGATCCAAGAGAGCTCAAAGCCATAAAGAAGGATATTGTCGATGTTTGTGCAGGAGCTGGACTGGTTCTACAGAGCAGGCCACGAAGTCATATACATCGCTTCTATACGGCAATCATTCTCGAGCCCCACATCTCTTACGTATCCACTGCCGACATAGGCATACAAATTCGATGATGATGAAGAAGAAGAAGAAGAAGAAGAAGCCACAGAGCCATTTGAAGTGTTGAAGCAAGGGGCTGTGTCCACAAACCCAGGGGAATCCATAGGGTGTTCACACCTTACGTATATCATATTTGTGTTCAATCCATACCATTCCCAAACTCCATTTTCATTGCGCCCATCGATGGTGGAGATATATGGATCCCTTTGGCTAAAGTTGTAGTCTGTTAAAGAATACCCAGGAAGGGAAGAGGAATCCAACTCTACAATATTAGCGTCCCTCAATCGGATTGTGTAGTTCTCATAATTAATGGACACAACACTGTATCTCCCAGACTGCCAATACATTACCAATTGGTTGTGCTCGCAAGATAGGTTGTACCTTTGATCACCACACTCCTTTGGATATTCTTTTAGCTAAAAAGGGCTGCTAATGTTGTGATCTCCACATAAAATAGAGCAGTTTTGTGTCCATCTGATGCCTTGCAAGTTCTGTAGAATAACATTATCAAAAACAGAGCTACCAGTAATTTTCCTGTGGAGGAATACATGATTCTCAAGATCTCCAAATGAAGAGTAAATAAGAAAGAGACTTACAAAGCTAGTCAGCCATATATTTCAATGTTATTGCAATCAAGAAGTTGCCACTAGCCAACTTGATAGCATATATGATGTCAATATATAATTCATAAAGGCGTGTTTACACGTAAGGTGGTAGGTATGCCATGTGGGGAAATTATTGGGAAGCTAACCTTGTTTGAAAAAGTCTCTGAGACTTTGTATTTTAGATGCAACTGATCTTAGCTACTTGGCAAGCCAAACGCTGGAGATATGGAAACTGCAGTCGTAAACTCCTTCTTCTCTGTATGCTTGTTGCTAACTCTCATGTTTTTGGGGTCTGTAGGAAGCTCGAATAGCTGTCCAGAACCTGAAACATCATGTGGAAAACTTCCTGTTCGGTTTCCTTTCCGAGTAAAAAGACGCCAACCAGAACAATGCGGCTATCCTGGGTTTGATTTAGAATGTTCTTCTACCAAACATGCTGTTCTTGAGCTTCCTGGATCAGTCAAGCTCAGTGTCAAACATATTGATTACAAATCTCAAACCATTCAGTTATATGATCCTTCTGGTTGCCTTCCAAGGCATGTCCGCAATCTCACTCTAGTTCCTTCTCCTTTCCAGTTCATAGACCGAAATCTTAATGACTTTACAATTTTCAATTGCTCGTCGCCAAGAGATGGAGCGATTATTTCAACGTGCCTCAGCAGCTCTGCTTACCATGTGTATGCCGTTTTGTCTTATCGTGAGATTGGACAACTTACCTTGTTATTTTGCAGCAAAATATTTAACATTTCTTCTGTCCCACTTAAGATTTTTGATGTTGAGAACACTCTTCATTTGATGTGGTCTAATCCAATGTGCAAACATTGTGAATCAAATGGAACAAGATGTGGATTCAAGAATAGTAATATTCAACTATGATATTACATGTTTCGGGGATCGTCACAGTGGCAATATGAAACTCTTCCATCAAAACTTTTGCTCTTCTTTTTCAATACACATGTATGGTGATTTATATCATTTACATAAACTGGCCATAGCATTTGCCTAGAATGTTAATTATCTGTTCTAATAAACATACAAAATCACCACACATTTCTTGTCTCATGCCGAGCATCAATGTTCTTTACATGATAAGGCATGACTTCTTTGGAATACCTATATCAACATGCTTAGCTGACCAATCATGTTAATTTCTTTTGCAGGTTCATCAAACAAATACGTAATTGCAGGTTAGTTTCCAAAATGAACTTAGTATAATCTGCTGAAAGCAGATTATACTTTCTAAAACTAAATATTCGAGTTTGTGTTATATGTACAGGATCAATGATGGGCTCACTTCTAGTGGTGAGTACTCTTGCGGCAATTCTTTATATCAGCAACTCTTATAAATCACGGAAAGAAAGCCAAGCAATAATTGAGAAGTTTTTGAAAGACTATAGAGCTCTCAAGCCCACCAGATATTCTTATGCTGAAATCAAGAGAATTACCAATCAGTTTGAAGTCAAGTTAAGGGAAGGGTCTTTCGGTATTGTGTTCAAAGGAAATATTTCATCTGAGTTCAAGGTTGTAGTGAAGATCCTCACTAATTCTAAAGGAAATGATGAAGAGTTCATCACTGAAGTTGGAACAATGGGTAAAATCCATCATGTCAACATTATTCGCTTAATGGGCTTCTGTGCTGATGGCTTTAGGAGAGCACTGGTTTACGAATACTTTCAAAATGGTTCATTACAAAATTTCATAAATTCACCAGGCAATAGGCAAAACTTTGTTGGATGGAAAAAGCTCTATGAGATTGCTTTAGGTACAACCAAAGGAATTGATTATCTTCATCAAGGCTGTGAGCAACGCATACTGCATTTTGACATCAAACCTCATAATATTCTATTGGATGATGACTTGACTCCAAAAATATGTGATTTGGGGTTGGCTAAACTGTGTTCCAAGGATCAAAGCATAGTGTCAATGACAAACGCTAGAGGAACATTGGGTTACATTGCTCTAGAAGTCTTCTCACGAAATTTTGGAAATATATCTCACAAAGCAGATGTTTATAATTTTGGAATGTTGCTACTTGAATTAATAGGAGGAAGAAGGATTACCCATGACACAAAAGAAAATGCTCCCCACATTTACTATCCCGAATGGATCTATAATATTTTTGAAGAAAAGGAGGATGTGAGGATTCATATTGAGGAAAAAGGGGATGCTAAAATTGCAAGAAAATTGGGAATGGTAGGCCTGTGGTGCATTCAATGGCATGCTGTGGATCGACCATCAATGCAAATAGTTCTTCAAATGTTGGAAGGAGAAGGAGACAGATTACCAATGCCTCCAAATCCTTTTAATTCTGATGGTCCTTCAACAAGAGAAAGGGCTAATGTACAAGCAAGAAATCTGATGCAAGGTTTAGCAATAATCCAGGAAGTAGAGTGAAAGTCTGTAACAGTCAAATATTATATGAACTTGGTATTGTAAATATTTGCTTTTAAATTGTGCGGTTCTGTCATTGATTGTGTTTGTGTGTAGTTTTGAGCCTTCAGCACTTGATTATAGAAGAATATAATGGATCATAGAAAGCAAATAGCTAAGCCTTCTTGATTCTTCATATGAACATTAATTAAAATGAAAGAAGTACATTGCTATTCCGTGGCTGGAAAGGAAATAGAAACAGAGAAGCTTCGGCCACAGCTTCCAAGAGAATCAGACAGGTTGGATATGAATGGATGGAATTCCGTAAATGTTATGGTGCGCCTATGTCCATGTGGTCAAGGAAAGCAACTCCATTAATATCACCAATCATTTATATTTAAAAAAAAATCAATCATGAAAAGGAAGGATCCAAATACAGTTGTTAATCCTACCTTATTTTCCTCCCATCCTGCTTCTGAGTCAATACACTGATACTTGTGATTCCCACCAAATTCCTTCAAAAATCAGGAAAGACAACCTCCCAAAAGAATATATACGGTTAAGATATAAATTTGTCTTGAAAATTTTTATTCAGAAGCACTAGGCATTCGAAAGTTTTTTTTTGTTACAAATTTGCCTTGGAAGTATAAAATAGTAGCAATTTTACGCCTACCATTAAAAAAAACTAGTATTGACCGTTAAAACAGGGATACTAACCGTTAACATTTTTAATGATAAAAAATAAAATTGTAAGGATTTTAAATTTTTAGAAAAAATTTACACGAATAAAAATTTTCAAGTTCCTAATACTCCTGAGTCAACTTCCTGAACAAATTTACCTCTTAAGTCAAATATCTATATGCACAACAAGGCAAGGCAAGGCAAGGCAGAGACAGGGACTGGCGGAAGCCATAGCCTCGAAAAGTTTTAGCTTTTACTGTTATAATGGTATTATACAGGTATATATTTTATTTGTAGCCATTAAAGTTTACATTAACTTTTTTTTATGACAAAATTTATATTAACTTTCATACTGTATCTTTTTCATCTGGCTTCCTTTATTCTTAAATCCTAACTCTCTCCCTGTGTATGAAGTTATACTGCTCATGAATACTTTACCCCGTTTTATAAGAAATAAGATACATAAATATCCTAAAAATATTCACAAATGAGCACCCAGTACCTGGAAAATTTTTTTTTGCTTTTATATGTCCTAAGTTTCATTTTTGTAATATTTCTATCATGAACTGTTATTGACTATTAAGTTTAACTGTTAAAGACACAAGTCAGACTGTATAATTTAACAGTCAAACTTAACAACAAATAACGGTCAAAATATTTTTGCTGTAAAAATAAACTTTCGTGGCATATAAAAGTAAGAAAAAAAATTTTAGGTGCTAAGTGCTCTTTCATTAATACTTTTGGGATATTTAAGAACCTTATCTCATCATATAATATTTTTATTTTTTTCCAAAGAAGAACTATGTCTAAGAACCAAATTTATGAATCTTTTATTCCTAAGGACCACTAATGATGAATAATCATTGTTCCATTTGTAGATTGTGCTATTTGAGTGGTAAATAGTGTTGAATATATTTTTAGTTGTAAATTCGTATTATGTGAATGGTAAATGCTCATAATTTGAGGAGTAAATATTGTGCTATGTGAGTGATAAATACAAATACCTTCTTAATAACTAATTTGTGAATCTGATCCCTAACTAAAATTCTCCCTTTCTTCTGTATCTTCGCACAAATCTTGGCTGGATTCTAATTATAAAGAATAATTACAATTTAAAAAATTTTAAATTATTATCTATATATTTTAAGGGAGAATTACAATCAAGTCCTATGAAAAAAAATGACAAATAAGTCCTAGAGATTGTCATTCTCTACTGTAGAACTTGTCATTACAAGCTGCTTAAATTGTTATTAGGATCTTTCAAAATTATTTTTTATGAGACTTGATTATAATTCTACTATATTTTAACGAGTGAAATATTTATTTTTGGGAAAAAATAAATGCAACAACTAAAAAATGTCCAGAATTTAATAGATAAATAAGACAGTAGTATTTCAAAATAGAAAGTGGGCTGCCGACAAATGAAAAGGAAGCATCGTGCACTTTCCAAAGTTGGGGCTGTTAAATGAGAGGAGTAGCCAACAAAAGCAACTTCAGTGTCATCCTTGGCACAGAACATTACGAGCCAACTATCCCCACTTCGGAAGCGGAAAGTGCCCGATGTCTGTGTGTTGCTAACTCTATGATTTTACATATTTTAAAGGGAAAATTTCACTGTAGGACCGCAGAAGACAATTAATTTCAAAGAGTCTCTAAAACTTTCTGAAACTTCACTGCAGGACCAAGGGGGCAAAATGATATTAATTCCACAAAGAAAATGACGCTATTGCCCCTCATAATACTTATTGCAGGGTGACATGTAAATGGACTAATTTCAGTTGTAATAAAGGTATGTATGTTGCAAATTGACTAGTCCCACTTGCAAATGGACTCTCTCACACTTATTTACTCACAGGCACCTTTTTTCAGGTGAATGGGTGATACGTAAATGGACTAATTCTAATTGTAAATAAATGTATGTATGTTGCAAATTGACTAATCCCACTTGCAAATAGGTGCTCCCACACTTGTTCACTCATAGAGACCTTTTTCAGGTGAAAGAAGTGACATGTAAATGGACTAATTCCAGTTGTAAATAAATATATGTATATTGCAAATTGTCTAGTCCTACTTGCAAATGGGCTGTCCCACACTTGTTCACTCAGACACATTCTTCAGGTGAAGAAGGTAATATGTAAATAGACTAATTTTAATTGTAAATATATCTATGCATGTTGTAAATTATCTAACCTCACTTGCAAATGGGTTCTCCCATACTTGTTCACATGAGGGGCAATAGGGTCATTTTCTTTGTGGAATTAATATCAGTTTGCCCCCTTGGTCCTGCAGTGAAATTTCAGAAAGTTTTGGGGGCTCTTTGAAATTAATTCTGTACTGCGGTCCTTGAACGAAATTTTCCCTATTTTAAATGTTTTTATAGATTGAAAAAAATTCAAAGGAAAATCACTTTGTAAAACTCAGTGGTGCCTTCCAAAGTTGTCAATAGCAAAAACTCACCATCGTCTCAACGTTCTAAGGGTGATGGATTGACTAGTTAACTACTCTTCCTGTCCTTAATATAGGACTCAATTATTGAGTTGGTTTTGGTCATAAATATAAGACTCATTTTTTATATTTATCATCTTTATCTAAATTACCCTTATAAATACTCTCTCAACCATAATCAAGTAGAAGAGGGAGATGGGGTATTAAAAAAGATGATTAAGGTGTTTTAGGAAAAACGCGTCACGTTTCTTATAATTAACTAACTTATCTAACTTCTTTAATCTAATCAAATTAGTTAAATAGGTCCTATATTAAGGACCGAAGGAGTAATTAGTCTATAATCTACTATCGCTTTACCACCTTAAAATATTTTCCGAAATATATCTAATATTTTAAAATATTTTGTGGTACATTTAGAGTTTCAAAATATATTTTAAGTGTGTCTAACACTTTAAAATATTTTTTATCTTGGTGTTGGATGCACTAAAAAAAATTTTGAGTGTTAAACAAATCTAAAAAAATGTTTCAAAATACTGGATATACCAAACAATATTTTAAAGTGTCGGACGTATTTTTAAAAAAAAATATTTCAGAAGGGTAGATATATTACAAAATATTTTAAAATATTAGATACATTGAAAAAATATTTCAACTACTAGATTCACCTTAACTCTTTTTTTTTAATCATATTTTTTATTTTAAAACTTGTACGATAAGAATGGAGCGTGCGCATGCACGCCCACGTACACACCATTAATCAAACGTGACATGACTTTTGACCATTAATGATTCATGAAATTTGTTCCTTAATCGTTCGCATCAAAACTTTTAACAATAAAAGTCAGTACAGGTTAATTCTTATTTTAACAATCGTATTCACATATATATAATCTCCTGTCTTAATTATAAAATTTTTTTAATAGTCAACGAGATTTTATAATAAAACCAAAAGTAATATGATATTTTAACAATGACATTACTCCTCACTTTTAATATAATAAAATTAGTTAAATTAATTATTCATAATAAATAAATGTTGTCTTTTTAAAAATACAATTGTTCATCATGTGTATTGAAACTTTTTTCATGAAAATTCTTTAATACGATAATCACTATATGGATTATTTGGAACCAAATTGAATTTTCAACCAACTCTTATATTAAGGAGAGAAAGTAGTAAACTTATATGAACCAATTTCAAGTATAGGGGGAGATGTATTGATAATTTTCCCCTGAATTAGGAAAGAAAATGCAAATATAAACACCACTTTAAATCAATAATGGACTTTCAGCGATAAAAAAAACAAAGGGAAAAAAAGAAAGAAAGAAATCAAGTAATGGAGTTGCCTATCTGCAGCGTGGTTTCTTACCGCCGACACCGAGAATTGTTCAGACAAGAAAGGTCAAAGCCATTCAGCGTAGCATATAGTAACTCTTCTATCTTTGAGTTGAGAAATGACAAGTTTTTTTTTTTTTTTTGTGTATTACTGTTGTATTTGCCTGGTAGCTAGTATGTGATTTCATTTTTCATTCAAATAGAGTTTTTCCATCTTCTCGTGAAAGCTTTTTCTGTCGGCGAGCTCTTTTCTCAATTGGTGGGATGAAATGCTTCATTATATTTTTATTTATGTCATACATCGATTATTTAAACCATTCACAGGTTGAAGAATTAACTTAACTATGAATGATGTAACTTCATTCGAACACTGAGGCTATTAACATGGCCCGAACTGATTGGGCCTGTGGGTATTATAAGCTGAGAGAAGAGGGGGAACAGGTGGAAGAGGCAAGCCCAATTATAATAGATTTCCTTTATGGATCAGATACCCAGAAATTTTTTTTGGAGAAACAAATTGAGAAAATGACAAATAAAAACCTTGAAAATTATGAAATTGCAATATAGGTTCTTGAATTAACAAAATTACTATCAGAGATCAGATCTTTAATACGAATTATGAAATGTTAGTTAAAAGACCAAAATGTCCTTCCCTTCTTCCTCCTCCTCCTCTTTTATTCTTCTCTTCCTCTCTCTCTCTCCTCCTCCTCCCCCCCTTCCTCTTTCTTTTCCTTCTCCCCGAAACTCCTCTTCTCATCCGCACTCCCATCTCTATTCCTTCTTACATCTTCTTTGCACTGCCTTTCATTCCTTACCACTATTCACCACAATGGCCGAATTCTTTTTACTTTCTCTTATGTCTCTCCTTGTTGTGGCCACCTTCCTCTCCGTCGTTGCCTCCTTCCCTTCAAACTTCATCCAATCCTCCTGCAGCACCACCACATATCCTTTAGCTACCTGTATGGGCACCGGAAGTTTGGTGGCCATGTCAAAGTTGGAAGACATTGTTTGGGTTTTGCAAGTTGAAGATGAAGTTCCCTTGAGCAAATTAAATTCCTTCTCTTTTCAAGATTGTAGTTTGTAGATTATTAACTATTAATAGATAGATATTGTTTGGGCACTATGTTCATATGATGATCAAGAAATGCTAGTGACAAGAGAATATTAAGTGGATAAACTATGCTAATGTCTACTTATCAATGAATATTATAAAATCGATTGCTATCAAAGCACTCTTGGTTTTTTGTTATTTGGCTTACTATTGTTGTAATTTCCCTTAGTACTATTGTAACTACAAACTTGTCAGCAACATGACATGATGATATGGAAATGTTGGTATTTTGTTTATGGGTAGAATAATGTTAACATTTTGTATTTATCAGTTCTAGATGATAACAATGTTAATCTATTTAATATTTTGAAGTTAATGAGAAACACAGTCACAGTCTTGTAGCTTTACTTACCACACTTGTTATTTAACTTACCACTCTTGTCATTTTGCCAATGAAATGTAAAAATAATGATAACTTTTCATAAAACTTAATTTTATCATAAACCCGGTCACAGGCTTGTCATTTTACTTACATGACTTGTGATTTGTCTTACCATTCTTGTCATTTAGCTATGAAATGTGAAAATAATGGCAGCTGATCACAAAACTTAATTTCATTCCAATGACGCACTTGTTATTTCCCTTAACACATGTATCATTTCGCTATGTAATGTGCAAATAATGATGATTTCTCATTAAACTCAATTTCATGAGAAACCCAATGACACACTTGTTATTTTACACTTGTTATTTTGCTCAACCAGATTTTTGCTAAAACTAAAGTTACTATGAATAATTTTTCAATACTTTCGTTTTTCATACTAAACTGGTCATTTTTCATACTAAACTTGTCATTTATAGATAAATTGAAAAAAAAATGCCTATTTCTGCCAAAATTTAAGTTAATATGAATGGTTTTTCAATACTTATTATTTCTCATGGTAGACTTTTTATTTCCAAATAAATTATAAAAATGTTGCCAATTTTTGTTAAAACTTAAATTAAAATGAATAGTTTTTCGAAAGTTATTTTTTTATACTAGACTTGTTATTTTTCATACTAAACTTATGATTCGCAAATAAATAATGTGAAGGCATTATGGGTTTCACAACTGATGTAGCTCCAGGGACAAACATTGTCTCTTAACCACTAGTCTATCAACTTCAAGTCCTTTCATTTTGCTCCATATCTTTTCCCATATCTTCTCCAACATCTGCTTTACTTCTCCAACGTAATGACTAGAACCTCGAGCCGTGAGCTTTGGGCTTGAACTATATCCAACTCCAGCAAGATGATACAAACATAGCAGATCAGAAAACACTTTCTTCAAAAAGAAATTGGTTAGAAGTTAAGGGAAGTCTTGGACAACGAAGAAAGTTTAAAGCATTTCACCGCCCTCTGCATGCCCATCCATTTTGGTTACAATCGCAGCTCCAACTTCAACGCCGTACCATGTTTAAATACTTGAGCCTGATCAAATGCAGCTTCACCAATACTACTAACCATTCTGGACAAAGTAAAGTTGAGGAATTAGATATTCTTGGCTCTAGAGAGATACAAATATAGCAGATCAAAAAACATGGAAGAAAATTATGGTTTTGGAGCAAACGACTAAGTAATTTTTTAGGCATTTGTGGTGGTTTAATAAGCTCACAGGAGAGAGAAGAGAAGGAAGAGGAAGGAGGAAAGAGAACGAAAAAGAGGGGGAGAGGAGAAGGGCGAAAGAAAAGAAAGAAAGAATGGTTTTTTGGTCTTTTAGGTTTGATTTGATAATTGCAATTTGAGACCTGGTCTCTCCAAGCAATTTCCTTTATTCAAGTGTCTATTTTGCTGTTTTGTTATTTTAAGGGTCTTCTATTGTGATTTTCCCAAACAGATTTGGTTGTCAATTCCAGCAAAAAAATGTGAAAAATGATAATTAATAATATACTCATTCAATCCTAAATATAAGACCCATTTTATAATATAATTTACATTATGAAATTAGTCTTATATTTAAAACCGGAGGGAGTAATAAATAATGATAACATAAAGAAAGGGAGGAGAGTCATAGCTTGACTGAGATAATAAAGGCGCACAATAATAAAGAAATGCGATGTTTTTTATTCATTTGCTTTCAGCAATACAAAATAAAAAAATTTCGTTGACCTGACTGGACAATGATATTTGAGGGGGGAAAACAAATAAACAAATAAATCCTCATTCATTTGCTTTCAACAGTGCATGATTTGCTCTAACTTCAGAATTAATCCCGCCAACCTTTTTTTTGCTCTTTACTTTTTCCTGAGTCGTTATTCATCTTATCTGCAGGCTTTGAGAATAAATGGAAAATTCAAAGATCAATTCAGCAGCATAGCAAGTCAATCTTGATTGGCCAGAGAGGGCAATTTAAAAAAAAAAAAAAAAACAGCAACGAGTCAGCCTTCAACTTGCAAAAATCACAAGGAGAACGATGAAATAAAATAAGTCCGGCCGAATTAAATTAAACATTACCCCTCTGTTTTTTTTCCCAATACAAATTAAGCACTATCTCATTAATTCTGACTTCAAATTCTAATAATTTTATATGGTGGTGGCACTTCCCCACTTTCTGGATTGTCATTATTTTTGTATTCTTACCCACTAAACTCTGATCCGCAGTTTGAAGCACAACAATATGGTTCTCTGCTCCTAAAATAGTACTTTTTTTCGAACGCGCGTTTCAGGCGTTAAATAGTTTAGTTCTGCTGTATTAATATATTTTTAAGCATAATCCTTTGACAAATTCCATACGTTCACCCAGCAGAGCACTCATTCAATATATATAATTTTATTTCTGACAAATTGTTTATTCAATTTTTTTGGTTTAATTTTTTAATTGATTTTTTTTTTGGGGCAAATGAGCCATTATTTTCAAACAGTTGGTATCATGGACTTCTCAAATAAGAATATTGTCCTGATCAAGTTAGTTAATACTTAACAACAATATAGGGCAATACTATTTAACTGGACCGGCGCTATTATCGTTCTTATGCTTCCCTTTGTTGCGACGCAATATGAAGCATCGGCTTGCTCTAATCATTGTGGGAAGCTTGTGATATTTAATTTTTTAAAAAAAAGTTTTGCCAGTAAATAAAAAAACCTTTATTCAGCATAATGTCTATAATTAATGTGTTTTAATTCAAACTTTTTCGTGTAAGTTCATTATGATAAAAATTTTTATATCCATAAAATACATTTAACAATTATTGAAATGGACATAAAAACTTAAGTTTTCTGGGTTGGTTTGTTTGTTTAATTGTATATATAGAGTGAGAGGCAACAATCTCTCTTCCAGTTTCATAAAACCATTTCTATAAGTTTGGTTTGGCTAACGAAAAATTCGGTTGTCAATTAATAAGATTTATGTGAAGAATAATGATTAAAATATATTATAAACTAAATGAATTAAAGGGAGGGGAGGAGCCTCATAGCTTGACTGAGATAATAACCGTACGTACTTGGCAAGCTGACAAGGTAAAGGAAAGTAGGATACTATTTTTTTTTTTTGTGGGGTGAATGAAGGTCAAAGAAGCTCTACCTATGTATATTACAAAGAAACATATCGAAAGATTTGTTTCTTAAAAATTTTAAGTTGAAAAGTCTTTAAATCTATACAATTTTAAAGACTCAACTTACCAATAAATTTTAATAGATTTATTATCATGTTTTTAAAAATTACTATAAATTTTGGAAATTTAATTATAAGTACCTTTCCTAATTTCTAAATAGCAAGTTTCTAAAATTTAGCAGTAAATTTCACCCTATATTTTTTTTAATTAATTAGAAACAATCTGTAAAATATTTTAGCTTTTTTTTTCCGGGAAAAAGAATCCAGCAGGCAACCATATAGGTATCCAAGTGCTAATGATACACAGTCAAGAGACAAAAATGATACTCCTCCGTTTCTTAATATATGACTCAATTGTTGAGTTGGTTTTGGTCTTAAATATAAGAGTCATTTCTCATATTTATCAATTTTCTCTAAATTACCCCTATGGATACTCCCTCAACTATAATCAAGTAGAAGAGGAAGATGAGGTATTAGAAAAGATGATTATGGTATTTTAGGAAAAACGTGTCATATTTCTTAAAATTAACTAACTTATCTAATTTCCTTAATCTAATCAAATTAGTTAAATGGGTTTTATATTAAGGATCAGAAGAGTAATAAAAAAATGAGAAGATTATTATCCACCCATCCATCAAATCAAACTTAATTATTAATTACCGGATTTTCATTTCAAGCATATATGAATCATCCCCCGGGGTCCAATCTTATCCCAGCTTAGCTTTCCTCCTTCCACCGTATGAGTAGATTATAAAAAGGAGATTTCTAGGTTTTAAAGCAAACAATCCTTTCAGTTACAGTATCATCATCATGGGGAACAAGAACAAGGCCATCAAAGAAAGGAAACTGAGTTGGTACATAAAAGCTCCGATCCGATTCCTCACCAGGGCTAGGGACTTGTACGTCAATGGCATGAACCGCCTCTCTCCTCACTTCAACTCCGTCGACACCGCCTTCGGCTGCCCCGCCGCCCATCCCTTGGTCCTCCCTCGTAGCTTCAGCGCCGGGCCTGCCACATCCTCACCTTCTTCTGATGATTATAGGGAGCTCCTGAGGGCTAATTCTGTGCCTTACCGCCATCGCGGTAGGCTCGATCTTTCAGTACCTCAGAAACAGACGCGGTCACCGTCGTCACAGGCGCCGGGTAAGGCGTCTAAGATGGCGGTGCCCCGGAGTCGCAGCGTGGCAATCGGAAGGATCAACGAAGATGAGCCGTGTGAATTTGAAGAAGACCTCAAGACAAAGCCTTCTGTTTATGCTAGAAGCAGAAGCTACTCCGTCCGCAGAAGTGCAAGAGTACGCTCTTAGCAGTAAATTATTCCAAGTAACGTAAGGATCTGATCATGAGAATTCTTAAAATTCTTGTTTAATTTGTATATCTGTATTTTTGTGAGAATTATTATGTTATTAATTAGCTTCTTGATTTCTGCTCTTCGGTTATCTCAACCGTATTTGTGCGAAATGTTGAAATTGTTGATTCCAGAGTGTGTGTGTGTGTGTGTGTGTGTGTGTGTGTAGTGTGTCGTGATTCATGAGAACTAGAACCAGATTGAGTAATTCATGAGTTTCCATTCGTGTGAGTTTGGCTGCGTACGTACATAACTTCTCTTATCGAAAAAATTTAGGTTGTCCTCATGACAAAAAAACTGAAATGCATATGGATAATAATATAAGACATGAAGAAAAATGATAGAATGGAACAACAAACATGTCAGTAATTCATTGCTATTCTGAACCTTTCACTTTGTACCTCTCCCAATTCCGTACGTGTTAAAAACTGCAACAGGATTTTCTGCAGTTGCTAGCTATCTTAGCTTAATTCCTCAACCTCTATGAAGAGGGAGATGTAAATTTATCATAATTAAATAACATAAAAATAAATCCCGATGATTATATCAGCTGGTTAGGACTATTCTAACTAAACTACCGGTCTCGAGTTTGAGATGTGGAAATGTAGCACTTGAAAGATGACTTGACTTAGGATACTGGGTGCTTATACCAAAAAAATAAATAAAAACAAGTTAAAAAATTTGATCCACTTTTTGTTATCTGATATTTTGAAATTTGAAATAAAAATGGATTGTTTAAATTTATTATTATTATTCAAATCTCATATATTCTCCATAAAAAGTAATCAAGGCATGGAAAAGGAGAAGCTATAAATATTATGGGTGCGGTTGTACAAATCCGATCTATAGTTATATGGTATTAATGATGTATATTTGACTTTATATTAGAAATTAAGAAAGCCATGTCTTGCTGCAGTTTTATATAGTGGGGTTTCAAACTTTCAATAATGGCGAACGAAACTAACGTGCATGCACTACTACTACTAATTGATAAGTTAAGGCTTTCACTTTAAAGCGCCAACTTGTAGGATGGAGAAAATGTTTGATTATTAAATTAAGTGAAACGACTGAAAATTGCGCAAATAAGAGTGTGTGGAGCAATATAATTTGCAGCTATAATGGTACTCATCAACCGCCATGACTCACGCCTATTGTGATGATTCATATTCATATTACTCTTCTGATCCCTAATATAGGACTTAATTGTTTAGTTAATTTTGGTTTTAAATATAAAAATTATTTCTCAAATTTATCAATTTTCTCTAAATTACCCCTCTAATACTCCCTCAACCATAATCAAGTAGAAGAGAGAGAGGCGGTATTAAAAAAGACTACCATGGTGTTTTAGAAAAAACATGTCACATTTTTTATAATTAACTAACTTATCTAACTTTTTTAATCTAATCAAACTAGTTAAATGGGTTTTATTTTAAGGATGAGAGGAGTAATAAATATAACTTGTTTCCTGAGGCAAGCAGCTTCCCTGACTTTCTTAATTGTTGGTAGACTTGCTGATACTTCGCAAGGTTGAGTAATCCATACTCAACTATCTTTTCCACTTCCCAAAAATAAATATCAACTCATGAAATAGCTGTTTATTATTTAAACCAATAATGTTTTTTAATTAACTCGTGATAAGATATAATATAAGGGCCATAAATATAGTTATGTTCGTCATGTTTTTAATTTCGTCAGAAGTTTGACAAACAAACAGGAATCATTCATATTCACGTGTGGGACCTATATATGTATGAATGTAAAATACTTTGGCTGGTCTTTGATGTAAGAACAAGAGAACTAATTTATAGATATTATACAAATTAGTTAAATTAATTATTTATAATAAATATGTGTTATTTTTTGAGATTTTTTTCTAATCATGTGTATTGTAATTATTCTTTAATGAAAACCGTTATGATATATAAAATTAACAAAAATGTTTTAGAAAAAAATTATCAATTTAAAATAGAAAATAAATTAATTAAAGTCTTATATTTTACGTCAAAATAAATTTTTTTGTTTGGCCTTTATATTTAGCGGTATGAATTGTTGACAAAGTTGATTGGAGCGGATAAGAACAAAGTCACGGTAATTTCATATATAATAGGACTTTTTCAACTATTGCCAACTATTCCCCCTTTTATTGTTAAAAGCTCATTTTGTTGAGCAGAGATTGATGGCATTTGATCAGTTAGCCTCAGCCCTGAATTCTCTTTTTTTTTTAAAAAACAGAGAGAGAGAAAAGTACAAAATGTTAAAAGAAAGTCAGAGGAAGGATTTATTCATTTCAATAACTAATATTTAATGTTACTGCCTTTTTTAATTTTTCAACCAAAACATAAATAAAACGTAATTATTATAATATGATCTTTTTATTTCATGAAATTTAAATTTGATAATTTGCTCTAAAAGAATTGAGTCCTGAAATATATGTATTCTAATTAATTTTTCTTCGACACATCATTTATATCTCCGTCACCTTTTCCTTTACTAGGAAAACCAAATATTAACTATGAGGAAAACCAAATACAACTATGCACACATGGTTGCGAAAAAATGCTTAACTATGAAAATTTTGAATTTTAATAATTTCATCCACAATATGAAAGGAGTTATTGGGCAGAAAAGTTGAACTGAAAATTCGCTCATATCATATTTTATAAAATATGGACAATAGAGTAAACTTTGATTTTAATATGTTGTATTATAAATTAAATGATATAAAAATATATTTTCACAAATTAATATCACAGAAGTGTAGTTTTTCTTTTAAATAAAAATATGTTGAAGCCAGTGTTAAAGTCTTCCATCAAGATTTCATTTTTTATATCAATTCAAATTAAATGGTTGAGCTTAGTTTCCAGTCCACAGTTTGTTGAAGAGCAAGCCCAAGGATTATATTTTTCAAAGAGTTCTATACAATTCTAAACGCCCGCCGCATTAAAGTCGTTTCTTCTAGTCTTCTAAACACATTAATAAAAGCCTTCAATGCTTTGATTTCAACTCGTTCTTCAACTGAATTGTTTTTATTTTCAACTTTCAAAGTAGAAATCTCACGCAAATCAGATGTAGAGTGTAGACCACAAAATATCGATTTTTTTACATATTTTTAATAAAAATGAGCAAGGGATTCGGTCCCCATGAATCTATATATAATATTTAAAAATATATACTTCCTCTGGTCCTGTATATAAGCTTCAAGTAACCAAATCACGTCTAACAAATTAGCAGCTAAAATTAATTAAAAATAATAAATATGTCAGAAATATATTTTTTTAAAAATTTGCTTTTATTTATTAAGAGAATAAATGAGAGAGGCAATAAATAAATAAAAATGATGAAAGAGAATATACGGGGTAATATTAATGAGAGAATAGGAATACTAAATACAATCAACTAAGGTTAAAATAAAGGGAAAAAAGTAATAAATGTTTAAACAAACTCAAAAATGAAGCTTATAATTTGGAAGCAGCCTCTTTTTTAAAAGTAAAGTTTATATATAGGACCGGAGGAAATATTTACTGGGAAAACTAAATCACTTTGTCTTGTATCCCCACTTCTCTCTCTGTTCTTCTGTTCCAGTTCTACTGCAAATCGTTGGTCAAATGGATTATAATTACTTGTTACTATATGTTTGTGGAAGATATTAATTATGATTGAGAAACGTGGAATTTGAAGCAAGCTGGCTTTGCATTGAATCGTACGTATAGCAAACTAAAGCACGAAAGTGCCTCTAGGATTTGACGTAAGTTCTTGGTTGATTACAAACCGGGTCCTGCCAGTGAAGATTTTGGCGTATAGGATAATGGAATATAAATATAAATGGAAGGTAAAACGTCTCAAAACTCTCGAGTCTCGAGTAATATCCAATTACTTAATTAATATTCTTACTAAAATTGTTTTCATTGACTATGTAATTGAGCAGCCTATCTAAGCTACAATAACGTAAAATTTACTTTACTAATTCCAATAAGAAAATATATGAGAGGATTCTCCTGTTGTCTGGATTTCGGCTCACAAATGGAAATTCAGAATTTTATAAAATGTCACAGAAATAGTGTGGTTAAAATCAGTCTCACTGTATTCTTCCTATTTTTTCTTGATTAACTAGTGTGGGTACTTTAGAACATTTCTCCGTCTATATACAGAGGTGGGATAAAATCTGAGTTGTGTAAGAAGTAAACCAACAACCACGGCAACAATAATAGAGTAACAGTAGTACCATCTCTTATTTTACTTTAATTTCATAAATTATGTAGATGATATGATTTATATCTTCATATTTCTCATTGTATTGAAGCTGAACTGAACAATAACAATCGATGCTACATCCTCGACAGGGCTAGAATACAGCTCGATATAATAATAACCATGCACAAATTGTCATTTAATTGTACCAAAAAATTGTCATTTATTTATTTTTCTAAGTATAGGTATCCTTCAATTGGATGTAATTCTATTCGAGACACTATTATGAATGTTTTTTTTAGCCAAAATTCGAACCTTGATTTTTTACGTAGTGAGAAACGTATTTGTTTTTTAGTTAGACCCAATTCTTGGTCGTGCTCCGATTTTTACACTGGTTTTTACTCATCTTTGTACAAAGAGGGCCTTAGCCCAGAATTATAAAATCGAACTAATACTTCAGACTACAATATGAGTGGGCTAGGCTTAAAAGTTAGAACCCATATAAAACAACTTGATCCATTAGGCCCTTGGACTAATCCGGTTAACCCATATTATTCTCTCTCTCTCTCTATAGAAAACTTTGACTGACTTACCATTTATTATTTTTTTTTTCAATGAACTATTAAGATTTGTTTAGTGTTTATCACTTCATACTTTCAGATGGAAGAAGATTTGGAGCACTTGTAGATTATTTTTTCGCTTTCGTTATGTCGCCCTTTATTATTAGTTTTTTTTCCCCTGACCCCTTATTATTAGTTTTTTCAATAGTTATGTTAGCTTTTTTAAACGTTACTTGATGTTATATAATACATACGGATCTCTTTTAATATTTTTCAAATTATGGAAAAATTCTCCTAGCAAATTATAGGGTTCATAATCATGCCTGCATGGGATGCATATTAAATGGATAACCTATTAAGATTGTAGAACTATAAAAGATGTTTTAAAAAAAAAAAAAAACATTGGGTGGCTAGCCTGCTACCTCATCTCGGTTTGACATAGGCTACCCGTTAGATTTGCTGAAAATCATTGTTATTTTTCAGTCAAAATTTAAAAAACAAAACAAATTTTACCCTAGTACAATGGGATGTTTTACAGCAGGTAAATGGAAACTATAGAAGTAGGTAAAATAGACTAAAAAAATGGAAACTATTATACTTGCCCTGGTGATAAAATAATTTTATGCAAATAAAATAGAATAAAAAAAAAATCTATATATATATATATATATATGTGTCTTCCCTGTTCCCACGCACACAGACGTTTATACTCTTTTTTTTTTTTTTTTGGTCAACACAGACGTTTATACTCATATGCCTTCAATCTCGATTGATTCCTCGAAGTTTAATTCTTTCTGAGGTTCACTGCTTCAGTTCAAGTACCAAGACAAAAGAAGACCCAGAAGGCGTTTCCGTATTGAAGCCAAATCAGCAGCACTACTGTCTCAAGTTCTCAATTTTGGTCGTTCGTTTGGCTTTCATGAACCGGGAAGAGAGAAAACGCAGGTTCAATGAGGCCATCGTTGACATGCTCTTTCCACCTCCGCCTAAAGATGAATCGCCTCCATCCCCAGTACTATGTTTCTCTCACTTCCCCTCTTCCTTTCTTTTCTTTTCTTTTCTTTCACTTTTTTCCTGCATTCGTTTTGATGGTAAATGTAATAGTGTCGTCATCTTTAGCCAGAGGAAGAGTCGAATCCTGTGCAGGCTTCGATCGAAGGTTTTGGTTCTGATGCTCTTCCAGGTTCGAACCCATATAATTTGTTTCAACTGTAACTAGCACTCGCAAACAGTAACCAAACTTCTCTTTTTATGGAATTATGACTTGTAGATACTTTGGATGTTTATGAGAATGCATCTACAAGTACCGAGGAACAACAGGAATCTGACTTGCCAAAGCTAACCAGGGCTCAACGGAAGAAAATCCGTAACAGGAAGCTCAAGGAAGAAGCCCTCCGTCGCGGAAAACTAATCGGGCCGTTGTTACCCACCGATCAGCACGCGGATCACCCTCCAGCTGTTCGATCAAATGCCTCTGAGAGTCAGGAAAATTGTGGACCAGACAAGCCAGGTCAGAATCATTTGTGCACTTCTCGTTGTGTTCTCCATGAAATTAACAGCTCGATATTATTGGGACGTTTATTATCACATGACTTGGTTTAGGCCCTCAAACCTCGAAGAAAGTAAATCAGCGAAGGAAAGCAAAAAGAATGGCGAAGGTGAAGCAAAACTCCTCTAATGCTGAAAATCTCAATCAACACTCCGCTTCAGAACCTTCTGTTGACCTGAAGGAAGACCATTAGCTTCTGATTTCGAAGGATGATGACTCTTCTGTTGAATTTTGCCGTTGTAAACGGGAAGTACTTGACCAGTGCAGTAAATATTACTTATCTGAGATGTTAGCTTATGTGGTTTGAATTCGTGAGAAAAATGCTTCAGAGTTGCATTGTAATTTGTTACTTATTAGAGGATCTTACGGAGCAACAGAAACCTGGTAACTGATGTGAGTACTGTAATATTAAACGGAAGGAATTTCAATTTTGACGATAAGATTTAGACTTTCAAAGTACAAACACATGAGCAGCTACGAAATAAATCAGCTTGTTATTGTTTGACACAACAGATACAACTACAATTTTGCAGAAACATCAAGTTAATTTATTTCTCTACTGTTACAACCTACAGGAAGATCCAAATTGATATCCATTCATTTTGCTGACTTGAACTTCTTGATGTCCTCAAGGCAGGCGTTTTTGAAGAGGATTACATCCACATTAACACGGATCAAGCGATACCCACGATTCTGATATTGTTCACGTCCATCACCTGCGGCTCCAAACCTCCCCAAGAAAGGCCCAACTCCGTCTTTGCCTTCAAGGCCTAAAACTGTCTTTTCCACTTCGTCGATCATCTTCTTCACCCTCTCATTCTTGGGGTTCGTCAAGCAACCTATGCTGGCGCTCAGGTCAAGCGGGCCCACCATTATCATGTCCACACCGTCCACGCTCGCAATGTCTTTCACGTTCTTGACGCCCGCCTCTGATTCTATCTGACAAATAATCAGCAACTCCTTATCGGATTGGTCCGGGTAATTCGGATCGAGCCCGTATCTCGACGCTCTGGCGATGGATCCGGCCACTCGAACTCCGGCCGGTGGATATCGGCAATACGACACCGCCTTTGTGGCTGATTCAGGGTCATCAATCATGGGGAAAATGATACCCTGTGCGCCGAGGTCGATGGCCTTCCTGACCCAAACGGGGGAGTTCTCGGGAACGCGGAAGATGGCGGGAGTTTGGGTGGCGGCGAGTGCGTGGATACAGGGGAGGGCATCTGAGATTCCGCCGGGGCCGTGCTCCATATCGATGAGGACAAAGTCGTAACCGACGTAGCCTAAGATCTCTGCGACTGTCGGGGAGAAGCTGAGGAGAGATACCCCATAGAGGACCTCGCCGTTTTGGACTCGGAACTTGAGAGTTTTCGTGGTGATGATGCTGCCATTGTTCATGTTCTCCATTACCAGTATAGAAGGGTTGGTGAGTGCAGGATGACCGAAGAGCTAGCTCATAACGGAAACGATTGTGGAAGAAAGCTAATTGAACAAGTCATTTTAACGGTAGAAGAGACAGATAACTCATTGGACGCATTATACTGTAGCATGGAGGCAGTCCTGTGACAAAGCACAGTTGCGGCTATTTGGCTTTGGGAAGTGGGAACGTCATTTTTCATTCTCCAAAGTTTTTGTCTGTTCCATCAACTTCACTTTCATACTGAATCATGGTCGAAGAAACGCAAATCAGGAGTGCAACTCTTTTTTTTTTTTTTTTTCCGGCGTAGTACATTTTAAACTTCAGCTATCAGAAAAAGTTATAACAAATTTATTGTTTTTCTTACAAAATTTATTTGTCGAAATGTCATTTATTAAAAATTAGTTTTTGTAACGAGATATATAAAACAATTGAATATCAGAACATCATAGAAGCATATCATGATATTGCTATACATCTAAAATGCACAGAGAGCCATTCCAAGTGGTCAGGATAGAGAAGGGAAAGACATAACATAAACTTTTTTCTTGGGGTCCACATAAAAAAAAAAAAAAAGGTACAATATTGTGAACGAAAAGCAAGCCTAACTGGAAAGCTATCCAGGACTATTGGCAATTTGGCATGCATAACCTCAACAAACGAATCGGTTCCCGTTTTCCGCTTCTATTGCCCGGATCTTGATATGTGGCTCCCGCGCCCTGTTGGCCCAAATCAAACCCGCATGAGACACTCATTGGCCCAATATGGCCTAAAAATTGTAAAACTACCAGAAAACATAACACGCCCTAGCTGAACAATGCTCTGGCTTTATTTTTTTAATAGAGCATATAAAATTAATTAAATAAAAAAATAAATAATGACCTGAAGGATATGTCAGGCAGGGTAATCGAAAGGGATAGGAGAAACGGAGTTATCCAGTAGATCCGGGTGTACGTAACCATAATTACGCAGCACCTGATTATCCGCAAAATTGAGAGCCTTCTTCATTCCATTCCAACAAGAGTCACCTGAATACATCTCATTGTGGTTTCCATTGCAAGGTTGGCAGCCGGTGAAGTGTGTTATGAACGGCCTCCTCCAACTCGCCTCCTCCTTCTTCAGGTACTTCTCCCTCGTCTCACTGTAATTCTCACTCACCATCTCTGCATGTCTCCTCCTTAGCCTCTTATCTTCTCTATCCACCTCATTGTATCTCTCCGTTATATTCTCATATGTCCCCACTAGATCCTCCCAGTAACCCGAGAACGCGTACTCTGTTTCTAAGTAAATCTTGTTCCCCCATTTCTCTTTCTCTTCCACGATCAAGTAAGCCAGCCCCGCCTGATCATCCGACTCCGGGTAATTCTTGTCCTTAAAGGTGTTTTTCTGTATTTCTCCCCACTTTTTGTACTCCGGTGACTGTGGGCCCATGTTTGCCCACTCTTCCATGAAGTCCAACGACCACTGGCAGTTTCTGATCAGGAACACGCCGGCGTTCAGGCCCATCGAGCTTTTGTCCTCGTGTACCAGGCGAGGCCACCCTTGAAGCATGAGGTTGTGGTTTTTGTAACGATGCAGTGGGAGCTTGAAATCCATGTCTGTGAACATGGCGTCAGAGTCGATCCACCAGATCCACTCGACCTCCGGATGGGCCATCATCGCCGCTTTTATCATCGGATACTTCGACCAGTATGTTTGCATATTTGGATGAAGCAGCACGTTGTTGTAGAAGATGTTGTAGCCGTGGAGACGGCAGTAATCCACTTTGTTCTTGAAGAACCCGAGAAGCAGGTGATCGCCGATCGGATTCTGACAAGGAAACGGCTGAGATCCCGTCACCATGAGGATCCGCTTTCGCGCTCCTGGGATGAACGACGGATGACGTAACAGCCACTCTTTGCGCTTCTCGTCCCAGTTCTTCATCGGTTTATCTAGTGTGTAACCCATTTCAGGGTCATCGTAAAAGGTTTTCTCCGGCGGGTCGTGTCGGAGATCAGGACCATGCGTACCAGCACCACAGATAAGAGCGCCGTCGGGACCTTTGAGGGATTTCAGTCTAGTGGTGACGGACTGAAAGTTGGGGGTCTTGGGAGGAAATGGGGCTATGAACGACCAGAAACCCCAAACCACGAAAACAGCAGCAAGCACACCTCCGAAGAAGACACAACCATCGGAGAACCATACGGAGGATTTGTTTCTAGAATTCGACCTGGCCATGATGGGCTAATTGTAGAATAGGAGGGCTCCGGAGATGCCATTTTATAGTAAAGGAGACGGCGGTGGCTTAAAGCACTTACCAGCTGGCTTTTGGTTTTAGCCCACTTAATTACCTGGTTGGCGGGTCTGATATATAGCCGGGTAGCGTCTCGTCGTGGAAACGATTTAGCTTGCGTTGCGTGAACCATATTTGGGAGTGTCTCTGCTAAAGTATAAATTAGCAGAGGTCGTCAATGGTGGAAAAAGAGTAGAAAATTCCAAACTCCATCCCTGAAATTAAGTACAAAGTGGTGGATTCAAACGTGTAGGAGCTGGAGACGAAAGCTATTTATATTGTGATGCGCATTGTCGTCTACATAATACTAGAGGGAGGTAACTGGTAAAGTGTTTGCATGGTTTCTGCACTTATGTTTACGTGTACAGTATAGAAAATATAGTTCATGTTTAGGCACGTGGTATGTAAACGACAGTTCGCACCGCCAATTCCCTTTCTTTCCAATTCATCTTCATTACCCAGTTCACATGATACTCATCCTACCCCTAATATAATATAATATAGTACCTAATTGAGTTAATTTTGGTTTTAAATATAAAGATTTATTTCTTATATTTATCAGGTTTTCTTAAATTACCTCCATGGATACTCTATCAATCATAATCAAGTAGTAAAAAGAGGGAAAATATTAAGAAAGATGATCATGGTGTTTTAGAAAAAAAAAAATGTCATATTTTTTATAATTAGCTAATTTACTTAACTTCTTTAATATAATCAAATTAGTTAAATAAATATTATATTACGGAACGGAGGAGTCCCACAGAAATGAGAATAACTGATTTCAATGCTCACCATTATCATGCACACTGCTGTGTGAAATCTATACTATTTAGATACAATTTTAAGGGTATAAATTTAAAACTTTTAACTAATAATTTTTAAATAAAAAATTATTTTTAAGAAAACGGACAGTTAAAAGATCATATTTATTTTGGATTATCTACATAATAAATGAAAACATTTTTAAAAACAAAATATAAACAATTAAATCTCAACCCATAATATTAAATTTGAATGGTTGAGATTTGATAAGTATCATGGTGCTCATTACTTTGATAAACACCGAAACTAGTTTTGAAATGAGATGATATGTATTTTGATGTTAGCAATAATAATGTTTACGTATTATATGTGACTTGTATGCTTAAATTCACTGGATTATATACATATGTGTGTCTCTAGTGCCTTGGAAATGACTTCCTTTTTTCAATGTGAAATATGGTAGCTTCTTCAAATATAAAACTTATTTAACTTTTCTCTTAGATTAAATCAATTCGATTACTAGATCGAACACGGGAGTGGATGCATAAAGTATAATAATTTCCCTTTATAATAAATCTGCGCCTGATCTTTTCTTATATTGTTTAAAACTTATACTATTAAATTGAGGTTAAATGTGTACAGTCGAATGTGATATACTACTTACCATGTCATAAGGGGGGATAAAATGTTACTCCTCCGGTCCTTAATATAGGACCCAATTCTTGAGTTGGTTTGGTCCTAAATATAAGACTCATTTCTCATATTTATCAATTTTCTTTAAATTACCCCTATAAATACTCCCTCAACCATAATCAAGTAAAAGAGAGAGAAGGAGTATTAAGAAAGATGATTATGGTGTTTTAGGAAAAATGTGTCACTATTCTTATAATTAACTAACTTACCTAACTTCCTTAATCTAATCAAATTAGTTAAATGGGTCTTATATTAAGGACTGAAGGAGTATGTAGTATAATATCACGTGATATATTGCCGATCGAATATGTGTTTACTTTTAATATAGTTGTGGGGACGTAAACACTCAGTTGTCTTTTATATCGATGTTATCTAATTTAACTAATTAGTTTTTGAATAAAACTTGCTTAGCGTAACTTTTAGCCTGCAATGGTGTTAATTTATAAATAAAAGTAATTATTTATCCAATACATAAATAAAACTAATGTAAATTTCTCAGATGATACATTCTCAGTAATCAACCAATAAAATTTAAATTTATCGGCATAATTTTTCAAGTTTGAACACAACTATAGATTTGAGACTTGTATTTTTAAAAACTAATTTGTATCCTCATATGTCAGGAAGGTCTACAGTAAAAGTGATATATTTACTAAGAGAATTAATTGAAAAGTATCAAAGAAAAGGAAAAAAATTTGCATATAATTTTTATTGACTCGAGGAAAAACTCATGATCGTGTATTGTTTAAGAAGTATTTTGAAAAGTCTTGGAAACAATAAAAGTGTATGTGTTGTACATATTAAAATTATACAACATATGCATGAGAGAGTAACTATTAGTATAAGAGCATTTAGAGCTAAGACAAAATAGTTTTTTATAAGGATTAGCCTATGGTGGGATTGTTTGAGTTTTAACTTGTTTGACCTAATTTTAGGTTTTTAACTAAGCATATACAAGACGAAAGATATCAACTCTAAACTTGAGTTGCAGAAGATCTTAGAGTTGAAGGACTTCTGGCTGAGTAAAAGTAAGATATATAAAAATATAGAATGCTACCCTAGTCTTTGTTACAAGTCATTTGTAACTCATTTTCACATGCCAAGGAATGGATTAAATTGATAAAATTATTCAAATTTACTCTTATTAAAAGTCTTTTCTCTCTCATTATTAACAAATCATTCTCATATATCTATTCTCTTTTTTTCTCTTCCCAAATAAGAATTAAACAGGGGTAAAACTGAAAAATAACCCTTCTTAGATTTGTGACCAAAAATTTCTTTTACAAGTGACTTAATTATAATAAGAATCAAAGTGGTACATGCATTCCAATTTTAATAAGAGGTAATCTAGAAGTCATTTGAAGATTAAAATGAAAGATTATTTATCAAATTATACTTCAAGTGAGGCAAAAGAATCCAACAATGATTTCTTATTTCTGTTTGAAAACAATATCATTCCAGTTTACGATTTACTCCTTTCATAAATTTACAATTGCAACTACATGCAAACCACTACCAAGCAAAGAGATTTTTTAGTCTTTGTTGTTTTGGGGACGATGGAGGATAAAGTAGAAGATTAAAAAGAAACGGTGAAACAAGGTGGAAAAGGACACAATGAGCAGAAAGAACAAGTAATTGCTAATTTAAGGAGACGTTTTAGCATATGACATGCAAAGAACTTGGATTATATATATGTAGACGAAACAGATTGCACAGAATTAATGTATTTTCCCAATTTAAAACTAGAATGCGGTGAATCTTGTCGCGTTCGGATTCAATGCCAGAAGTTAATTCTCAAGCTCAATACTTTATACTCCTCCGGTCCTAAATATAAGACTTTTATACCAGTATGTATAGGGGTCTTATATTTAGGATCAAAGGAGTATCGTGTAGAGCTCAAACACACCTGTAAAAGGAACAAACACATATATTATAATTATAACATATTTATCGTCTTTTTAAATTGAACGCTGCATAAAAGAAAAATATTTTAAGGGGTCCAAATCCTTGATTAAGAAAATTTTAACCTTAGCCATTTGGCAAGGCAATCTTAATCCAGAAACAAGCCCTACGAAAACAATGCGGCTTAACTTGATTGGAAAATATCCCAGGTCAAAAAGAAAACTTGATTGGAAAATATATTTGGGTGAGGATAATGCAGATGAAGTCTAGGAGTCATGGGCAAAGATGGAAATAAGTTAGATTAGATTAGGTTTTAACTGAATAGGCTTGAGGGTACGATAAAAATCTAAAGCCTGATTTTAAACCTGAGTGTGTGTGTAAAAATATTTTTTTTTTTTTGGCTTAAACTTGTTCCTTTAAAAGGCCTTACAATGCCTGAAAGTCTTTTTAAAGGTCTATTTAAAATGTAAGCTTTTAAATAAACTTAAAAGCCTATGTCTCACTGATATATAACATTTCAAGCCTACTTAGAAGTTTTCTTAAGCTTTTAAATATGTTTTGAGGCTATACAAATATTATATGATTTAATTATTTAAATAGATTCAATTTAAACTGATAATAAAATAAAAAAATTTCATTCATTATAATATCTCATAATTACAAGTTTACAATAATACATATAGGATAATTTGTTTATAATAGTAAAAGAAGCAATGATCCTAAGAACTCATCATGATGGCACCAATAATCTTATATTTCAACATAATTTCTTGTTGTACTTTTACAACGGAAATCAAGATGACAAATTCTTACCAATGAGATTATAATGATTCATTTGAATGTCATTAAAATAAATTTATAGCAATTACTCCTCCGGTCCTAATTATAAGACCCAATTGACTTATTTGAGGAGATTAAGGAAGTAAGTTAAGTTGGTTATTTATAATAAATAAGTTGTCATTCCTAAAATATCCTTGCTAATAAGTATATTGGCTAAAACTATCATTATTAGAAGGATTATCTTGGAAAAAAAATGCATAAATATAAGAGACAAAATGGATTGGGGTATTATAATTAGGACCAAATAAAAAGTCAAATGGGGTCTTATAATAAGGACCGGAGGAGTATTATGTTTCATCAAACAATGCATATTAAGGAAGAAAGAGTGAGTTAGTATTGCCATCTTTGAGTGATTGAAGAGAAGAGAGAAAAAGGCGAACAACTAATGAATCAAAGAGTTGAGTTTATATGTGAATGACAGGAGGTGAAACTTTAGAATTAAAACTTAGTAATTTTATAAATAATTTATAGGGGAAATTGCAAAAAAAAGACTTTGGAATTGCAAAAACGCAGATAGGGACTCTTGACAACTTCACTTTGGGTTTTGACAACTCAGGGCATATTATTCTTGTCAAAACCCAAAGTGAAGTTGTCAAGGGTCCCTATCTGCGTTTTTGCAATTCCAAAGTCTTTTTTTGCAATTTTTCCTAATTTATAAAATTAGTGTACATTGAGAATCCCATAAAAAAAGTTTAAAATTACTAAATTCCAGATCAAAATAGATTTTGACTATTCTGAACTTGTAAATAGCAATACAATTTTGTAGGAATTTTTGATTCAAAATTTAGTAATTTTAAACTTCTTTTTATGTGATTCTCTCTAATTTATATTATATATAATAATGCAAATTTAAAAAAAAAACTAAACGCTTAGAAGAAGAGAGAGGGGGAAGGGTAACGTTACAGCAACGCAGTGGCTATAGGAAATTGGGAAAGGAGGAAAAAAAAAGAAAAGGAGGCAGCAGAGAGAAAAGAAAAGAAGAGAAACCGTTTTTCATTTAAGGGCGTGTTTGTATTTACTTTTATTAGTTTATATAAATCGACACAAAATTTTTTTTACATATCTATCTTTTATCCTGTAAATAATTATTAAAAAAGTATTTCCAAACAAGCTTAATCCTCCTCTCATCCTTTAGCTTTCTCACTCTCCTCCAGTAAATTTGATTTTTTTTTTCCCCGGTAGAAAGTAAATTGGAAATTTTTTTTTTTTTTGGTTGCCCAGAGTATCTTCCCACCCGAACGGTAAGAGACTAATCTCTCGGGGTACTGTCAGGTGCCGTAACGGGGACCCCTCCCAACAGTATCTTTTCCATACGCACCGCCCCAAGGATCGAACCTAGGACATGATGTTTAAGGGGCCCAAGTTCCTTCCACTTGGACCAACACTAGTTGGTAAGTAAATTGGAAATTGTAATGGAGGGTCAAGTATTTTGACAGTGATTGGGCCGCAGATGAAGTGGGTCCTCAGTTCTGAAGGTCCAAAATAGACATTTATGAGACACCCAATATATTGCTCTCCAACCGACAAACCCAGCCATTCCCACATGCGGACGAAACAGAGACTCCATAATGCTATGAGGATCACATTATTGGGTTGCATGTCCCTGGCCGAACAAAACAATTGTATCATTTGAGTCACATGTTGTTCTCAAGACTTAAACAAGTCGTTTTTTAGGTAATACTGTATACTCCTCTGGTCGTGGGATAAAGAAAGAAAGTATTTTTTAATCCTATTTATAGACACTGAGAGAAATTTATTGTATAAATGTACAATTTTACCCTCATTTATTATTGTATTAACTTTGTTTATATAAGATATAATATATATTAAATAGGGATAAAGTTAGAAAATCATTAAATTTTAGATGAGAGTTAATGAAATTTAAGGTTTTTCTTAGTCTGTGTGAAATATAGTGGAAGTACTTTATAAATAAAACCGAAGGAGTAATAGTTTACAAAATTTATTAAGTAGTCCATTTTAAATAGGTTTAAATGCGTAACATTATCTTTTGACAATTATTGAAAAGTATGTATTCTTCGTAAATTTTTATATCTACTTATTATAAATTAATTTAAATAAAAAGTATTTTGATCTACAAGTCATTCTTATGTTTAATTTTTTGGAAAAAAAATCAATGAAAATAATTTGATAATTGTTATTTAAATCCATTGTTGATGATCACCCAAAAAAAAACAAAGTCAACACACGGGTGTACAGATACCACGAATATCTCTTCGTGTCACGAGACTCACGACTCACCATTTCTAATTGAATCTGTTGGTTTCCTAGGAATAATTAATTGCTTTAATTTCTTTATAATTACACGTTACTCCTACTTATATATCACCCGTTTGGCCACTTCCTTTTATGAATATTACGGAAAATAGATGCTGAGGTGGCGTAAATCGTATTCGAAAATACACGTATATTTAGTTTTCATTGTCATTAATTTCTTAACCCACATGTATCTTGCCGTTGAAAATAATCTCATTTTGAGAAATGATTTGGTATTAAATGTGTATACCTATTTCAATAGAAATTTCAATCTTTTTTTTTGGTAAAATAGAAATTTCAATCTTAACTATAAGGAACTAACTTATTCCACCAAACCTAACTCTTATTATTTTATTAACATGAATGCTAAATAAAAAGATAATAGTCCATATAAAACACATTTGGGTTAATATAATTTTAGTCATCTGTGTTTATTTTTATTTTAATTTTGGTCCGTCAAATTTAAATCATAAGTTTTAGTTCTTTAAATTTTTTTTCATTTAGAATATTGGTTTTTATAACTTAATAAATACTCCCTCCGTTCCTTATTATAAGAGACAAATAACCGAAGTACATTGATAAAAAAAACAGTTAAAATTAGTTAAGAACAATTAATGTGTAAAAAGTATAATTATTTTTCTAAAAATGCCCTCATTAATAAGGAGAGAGAGCATGAGAGAGAACAATTAAATTATTAAAAGAAAGAGAAGTGGGAGGGAGAGAGAGTGTGAGTTGGAGATAATAAATATAGATAAAATAGAAAATCAACATACAAAAATAGAGACAACTTTTAAGTGTCTCTTATATATAGGAACATGTCATAAGCATCAAATGTCTCTTATAATAAGGAACGGAGGGAATACCAGGATAATTTTGTCTCTTGAGATCTAAAACTTATTATTTGAAATTTGAGGAATCAAAAATTATATTAAGTCATCAGATTTTGTAACAATTTTAAGTTGGCAGCACAGCACAATTGTGAGCAAAGACATAGACGTCAAGCCAAGTTAGTTGAAATGGAAACAGTTTTTGGGTATAGCGAAGTGATAAAAAGTGTCGAGTCGTTTTCAACTTCCCAGGTCGGGGGGAAAACAAAAAGAAGTCATTTTCAACTTCCAGGCTTTCACCGAGAAGCATAAATTAACAGACTGGCGAGTCAAGGTATAAACATGATCCAGTAAAAAAAATGACTATTGAAGAACAAAAGGTACAACCACCAAACCAACATTCTACATTTTCTAGGGATCCAGAACCAGAATAATATCATCATATACCGCTTCATTATGCATTAATTAAATGTCCCTTCGGGACATCCGATTATGCATTAATTAATCACTTCCCCCCACCAATCACTTCCACATGCACCAACCCATCATGACCATAAACATAAAATATACACAGAATCTCAGTGTGCATTGGTCATCCATAATTGGATCTCATTAAATAAGTGTAATTAACTTGTAATTTATTAATTACCTAACTCAGGTTCTCTCCTGCACTGCAGGGTAATCGAAAGGGATTGAGGCAACAGAATTATCCTGTAGATCCGGATGCACATAACCGTAGTTACGCATCACCTGATTATCAGCAAAATTCAGAGCCTTCACCATTTTGCCCCAACACATATCTGCCGTATACCTATGATTGTAATTTCCGCTGCAAGGTTGGCAACCCGTGAAGTGCGTGATAAACGGCCTCCGCCAACTTCCTCTGCCGTTCCCTGCCTCCTTTAGGTACGGTTCCCTCACCGCGCCGTAACTCTCACTCACCTTCTCGGCGTGCCTCCTTCGTAGCCTCTCGTCCTCCCTCTCCAGTTCACTGTATCGCTCCGTAATATTCTCGTACTGCTCTGCTAGTTCCTCCCAGTAACCCTCGAAGTAATACTCGGCTTCCAGATAAATCTTGTCCGCCCATTTCTCTTTCTCTTCTGCGATCAAGTAAGCGAGGCCCGTCTGATCGTCTGACTCCGGGAACTCCTTGTCCTTGAAGGTGGCTCTGAGGGTTTTGCCCCACTGTTCGTACTCTGGCGTTTGTGGGCCCATGCTGGCCCACGCCTCCATGAGGTCCAACGACCACTGACAGTTTCTGATTAAGAACACGCCGGCGTTCAGGCCCGTCCAGCTTCTTTTTTCGTGAATTAGATGGGTCCACCCGTGAACGATGAGGTTGTGATCCTTGTAACGATGCAGCGGGAGCTTGAAGTCCATGTCGGTGAACAACGCGTCCGAGTCGACCCACCAGATCCACTCGGCCTCCGGGTGGGCCAACATGGCAGCCTTCACCACCGGGTACTTCGCCCAGTATGATTTCATTCTCGGATGAAGCAGCGCGGCGTTGTAGAAGATGTCGTAGCCGTGGAGACGACTGTAGTCCACTTTGTTCTTGAAGAGTCTCAGAAGTAGGTGGTCGCCGATGGGATTCCGGCAAGGCGACGGCTGAGATCCCGTCACAAGGAGGATCCTCTCCTGCGCTCCAGGCACGAACGACGGGTGACGCGACAGCCACTCTTTTCGCTTCTCGTCCCAGTTCTTCATCGGTTTGTCCATCGTGTAGCCCATTTCGGGGTCATCGTAGAACGTTTTCTCCGGCGGTTCGTCTCGGAGATCGGGGCCATGAGTGGAGGGGGCGCAATTCGTACCGCCGGAGACAGTTCCTGGGAATTTGAATGATTTCAGTTTAGTGGCGACGGACTCAAAATTGGCGTTTGAAGGAGGGATTGGGGCTATGAATGACCAGAAACCCCAAACCAGGAGAAGAGCGGAAAATGCTCCCCCGAGGAAGAGGCAACCATCGGAAAAACAGCCAGAGGATTTGTTTCTTGAGCTGAACTTGGCCATAGAAGAGCTACTACAGAAATGTGAAGCCTCAGCAGACACCATGTTATGCCCGGAGAAAACGGAGGTGGATGAAGTGTATCATGCTTAACGCCTCTTGTTAATCGTCGCGTGATGGAAACTCTTGGCCATGTGAAAGACCATCGTTCGCAGGAGTACGAATTAGCAGAGCGCGCGACGGAGAAGATCACAACCTGCCTGAAGCTGAAACTACACACAACAGAGGGTTTTGGGAATGGCAGAGAGTGAAGAAGGAAGCGGAGTTGCCGAGTGGAGAAGCCAAGCCACGATACGCAATGTCGTTTATAGGAGAAAGAGCTAACTGGTTTCCGGCAAATAGCTAACGTGTTAGCAGTAGATTGCAGGGAGTGATAATAAATCACTATGGACACGTGGAGAGCGACCGACAGTTGCCCCGCCATATTCCTTTCATTCCGTTTCATTGTCTAGCTTTTACTTTTCACGCTAATTTAATTAATTGATTTGGACTTGGATGTCACAGGAAAAAAGGCGAAAGCAGTGAGGGGCCATAAAAGAATGCATGAGAAAAAGAAGAATCTTTTCTTTTGAACAATTATAATCAAGGTTAATGTCAGTGATGCATATAAATTAAGTACCATTAATTAGGTGTAAATATAATTTGGATTCCGTGGTATGGGTGCCCAATGAGCTTTAACAAAGCATCTTATGATCCGCTTTCATGTGGGAAATGATGGGGAATTTTCAAAGTAAATGTGACGTGTCTAATATCTTTCAAATCAATTAATCAAACCGATTAATTTGACACTTTAGCCCGTAAATTAAATCAACTCATTTGGATGTTAGCGAATGAAACAGTTGAAGCGTGCGTGAGTGTATGTTGACAATTTCTAATTTCATGTTAGGCTCCAAAACTGGGAGGCCGTGATTGTGGGCTTGGAAGAAGAATTGAAACTTTTTGGTAATGCATTTTCTACGCCTCAAGTTTCTCCGTCCTTGGAAAATAACATTAAAGATAGGAAGTTATTATTTTTGAATTGTGAATCCCATTTTTAATCTTATATATATATGACGTGTAAAGAGTTGCAGGCTGCATCCCTCGTGTTTTTTGAAAAGGTGGGAAAATGAAAAATAATATCCTTCAATCATGCATTAATTTATGGCCCAACACATGAAAGGAAAAGCCAATATCATCATATAATATATATTTATATATATATATTAATATGCGCATTCAAATGCTCAATCAGAGAAAGCATTGAAAACAATCCACACATAATCCAAATTCAATTAGTATATTAATTTTAGACGCCTATGGTCAATAATATTTTCAATTAAAATATGATATGTTATATATGGTATAGATGTAGAAGTTATCATCCGCCGAGTATATGTGGCTGTGTATCATATTACTATTATTATTTACAGTCATATTTTAATTTAATTTGATTAAAAAACTTGATAACATAGCCTCACACTAGTTTGTGCATTAAAAAAAAAAAAGGTTTTCTTGTTAAATACTTTAAAATTCCAAATTTGTACAAATAATTTGTAGTGGTGATAAACTTCTGGAAATCATCATATGATGGGGCCCTGTGTTGCACGGGAGCCTCATGTAATAAGTGGCGGTAGGGCTTGTGTTCAGTGAGGCTCTTATAAACCTACTAGATGATATAGATAGATCAGTTAATTTGGTATGTTACTTCCAGAAGGTCAGATTAAGAGACTTTCTACCTGAAAATGTGAGAATGCAAAATATAAAGCTCCTCCCACAAGAACCACCACATGATTCTTCTTCCTTTGAAAGCCAAGAATGCTGAAGTTGCTCCTCCCTTGGCACAGAAGCTCTCATTCTAAGTAAGCCACTAGTCCCCTGCTCGGCTACTCTTCAAAGAACCTGTCTTCCTGGTTCAAGACAAGTTTCTGATATCTTCGGTTTGACTCAATTCGCTTTTGGTTTTATTACTGCCTTCGTGGCTTCAGGACATGCAAGGTTTGATGCCACGTCTTCTTCCTTAATTAAAAAGAAAGAAGAAGAAATCCTATCAGTAAAGGACAAGTCCCTATGATTCTGTGATTCCTTCCCCCTCTTGACTTGGCCTGTCCCAGTGCCATTTGTGAGACCTTAAATGGCAGACTCCGTTCAAGGCCTTTACAATTACTATTTGTTTCATTCGATCTCTTCCTCCCTCATATACAACTTCATATTTAATTTGTTATTTTCGTCTTTCAAAAGGACATATTGTATTTATCTATCAAGGGCAGGTATTAAGAGGTTACAAATAATAGGTCAAATCCGAAACTTTCCACGTATATACCTTTCATGCTGCTAGCTAGGGTCATTAGCACATGCAATGGCATTTTGAACTGTAAAAATTAATTAGGCTGGCGATGAAGAGGATGAAGACGCAGTAAAAGAAGGCAGAATAATAGATAAAAGGAGAGTCAATACAAGTCAAACCAGGGATAATCATAAGGGAGGAGGGACACGGCTGAGCTATGAAGATCTCTATGAATGAAACCATAATTGCGAATCACCTGATTATCCCCAAAGTTCAAAGCTCTCTCCATCTCCTTCCAGCATTTCTCCCCATCATAACTGGGATTGTGTTCTCCATTACACGGCTGGCAACCCGTGAAGTGCGTCACAAACGCCCTCTTCTTCCTCACTCCCTTCCTTCTCATATACTCTTCCCTTTTCCCTCCGTACCACGCGCTCTCCTTCTCCGCGTGTCTCCTCCTCAACCCCCCCTCTTCTTCTTCCATCTCCTTGTACTCTTCCCTCACTTCCTCATAACCCTCCACCACTCCCACCCAATACGCTTCCAGTTCATATTCCCATTCCAGATATGTCTTCTCTCCCCATCTCTCTTTCTCTGTAAACAGCTTATAAATCAGCGACGACTGGTCATCTGGTAATGGAAATGGCTTGTCCATGAACGTTGATTTCAATATCTTCCCCCAGTTCTCGTAGTTCTCACTTATTGGGCCCATCTTGGCCCATTCGTTTATCATATCCATGGACCATTGGCAGTTCCGGATCAAGAGTGACCCGGCGTTTAGGCCCGTCCAGCTCTTGTTCTCTTTGTCTCCGTATACCATGTTGGGCCACCCGTGGACCACGAGGTTGTGGTTCTTGTATTTCTCCATGGGAAGCTTGAACTCCATGTCTGTGAATATTGCGTCGGCGTCGACCCACCAGACCCATTCGATCTCTGGGTGGGCCACCATGGAGGCCCGGATTATTGGGAGCTTGGCCCAATACGAGTCCATTTTGGGGTGGAGATGCGCGTTGCTGTACAAGATGTCGTGGCCGTGGATTCGGCAGTAGTCCACTTTGTTCTTGAAGGCTCGCAACAGCAAATGGTCGCCGATGCGATTCTTGCACGGCGACGGCTGTGATCCGGTCACGAGGAGAATCCGATCCTGTACCCCGGCGGCGAGGGATGGATGGAGTTGTAGCCACTTCCTTCGCTTCTCGTCCCAATTCTTCATCGGTTTCTCGATGGAGTAACTCAGTTCCGGATCGTCGTAGAAGGTTCTGTCGGGCGGTCCGGGCAATCCGTCTGAGCTGGTTTTGTTGATCCGGCCAGAGAAGTAAGAGTGGAAGAATAGCGTCAGGTGGAATCTGGTGGAACACAGAGTCCAGAGGAGAAGGAGAACGAAGAGCGTTGCGCCGAGGAGGAGAAGGCCATCGGGGCAAGGTTTCTTGCGAGGGTTGGGCTTGGCCATTTGGAAAGGATGAAGATTCGATTGGATTTGAAGAACAGTGTGAGTTGAAATTTATAGTGAGAAGGGTTGGTAAGTGGGAATATCATCAGGATTTGTGAATTCATTGGGTTGACTGCGAATGAGGCAAGTTCAGGAGTAATAATGAGAAGAGATTTCAGTTCAGAGGAAGAAGAGAGTAATTAGTGAGGGGAATTTAATGCAATTGATTTGAGGGATGATGAATGCAGATTGTGATTTTGAGTCTTGAAATCAGTAGCGAGGAGGGCCACTTAGAAGGAAGTTCCATAGCGAAGGTCATCAAAGTTGACCAACGTCGGGGCCCTCAAGTCTCAACGATAATATGGGAATAAGTTCGTACCGTCATGTCCTTTGCGGTGATTCCGTCGAACATAGAATCAAAATTCAAAGGATGAATAAGAATCCTCTCATCAATAATTCCATTAAATTTGTCACTAAAAAAAAAATAATTCCATTAAATTTGTTACCAAAAAAGAAATAATTCCATTAAATTGACAATTAAAATGAAAACAGTAAATCGTTGGCAAAAAAAAGTGAATGTTTTTCAGTTAAATTTATTTTCCTGTTAAGTTCTTCATGATTATTTTAAATTTTAATAACATTTAATAAAAAAATATATTGCACTGAAGTTAAAAATAGTCCCTAGTCCCTGGGTGCGCAACATAGTACCTTTTTTCAAAAAAAAAAAATGAAATTCAAACGGTAATGGAGAAAATTTAAATAAAAATTTCATATTTTCTTGTTATATTTTTTTGTGCTAAAAACATAGTAACATTAGAACGTTTATAATCCGGTAAGTATTTTACAGAGGACCAATACTATATTATACTACCTCCTATCCTCAATATAAGACCTCGTTTGATTTTTATTTTAGTTTTAGTTATAAGACTCCAATCCACTTTATCTCTCATATTTATATATACATTTTTCAAGATAGTCCTTCTAATGATGGTAATTCTAAGCAATAAATTTGATTAGTAAAGATATTTTAGGAAAGATAACATTTATTTATTACAAATAACTAACTTAACTTATTTTCTTAATTTTTTCAAATTAGTCAACTAGTTTTTATAATTAGCACTGGAAGTAGTACTAGTTTTAGTTTTATAATTAGGGATGCAAAGTTTTTTTTGGATGTAATTTAGGATATGCTTAAATTATTTTGGATTTGAAACTAATCTTTGTTGAACTGAGAGTATTTAAGGTTCAAGTCCTTTTAATAAATATGTTTCTTAAGATTTGAATTTGTCATCTATTTTTTAGGAAATGCCACTACTTACCAGTTACCACTCAACCAACAATATTTGCATCTTTACAATACTAATTCTTATTGAGTCAAAATTGATTTATGAAAAAAAAAGAAGATGGGAAATTGTGGAGCCTACCTCAATATCCATTATAACAAATACTTTTTTAGTTTTATTTATAGAACAAAGAGAGAAGAATTTTTTTTTTTATATATTTAGAGGATCTTAAGAGAAAATTTTTTATGGATGTACAATTTCACCCTTATGTTGGTTTTATTTAATTAGGTATAATGTATATTAAATAAAAATAAAGTTGAGAAATTTTTATATTTTAAATGAGAGTTAATGAAATTTAAAAAATTTTTTTGTCTGTCTAAAATATTTTTAAAATAACTTATAAATAAAATTAGAAGAATACTCCCTCCGTTCCTTATTATAAGAGACACTTGATGCTTATGCCGTGTTCCTATATATAAGAGACACTTACAAGTTGTCTCTACTTTTTTGTGTTGATTTACTATTTTACCCATATTTATTATCTCCAACTCACACTCTCTCTCCCTCCTACTTCTCTTTCTTTTAATAATTTAATTATTCTCTCTCATGCTCTCTCTCCTTATTAATAAGGGCATTTTTGAAAAAAAATTATACTTTTTATACATTAATTGTTCTTAACTAACTTTAACTGTTTTTTTTATCAACGTACTTCGGTTATTTGTCTCTTATAATAAGGAACGGAGGGAGTACTAATTAAGCACTAGGAGTTATTACGGGTTGGCTGTCAATGATTTATTAACCAGTGTTAATGACACACTCAATGCCTCCCGCTAAAATCAAGATCAAAGTCACCACTCAACACTGACAAAGTGACGAGGCTTTGGTTGAGAATGCTGCCGCCTTGAAGATGATATTCTGGCATCTCAATATAGCAGTCAGTCTCCTCAGTCCCTTTTTTTTTTTTCCCCCTCCCTTTCTGCGAATATTTCTACCCGGCAATGAATAAAATAAATATTCTTCTAAAAGAAAATACTTAACCTTATAATTTATTTTCAATATTTCATTAACTCTTTCTTGAAATCCAACAGTGTTTTTATTTTATCATTTTTTTGGTAATAAAAGTGACCCATTTTATCCTTATTTAATATACAATATAAATAAAATTAACATAATAATAAATAAAAAATAAAACTATATATTTATATAAAAAAAACTTCTCCTGCAATCACGTCATGCCATCTATGTTAGTGAAACAAGACTTGTTGCATCAAAACTGCTGTAAATAAGCGCAAGAATACCCAGCCTCTCAGAAAATTAGAGAAACACAAAGCCAGCATACTACAAATCGCTCCTCGATCGGACCAGAGAGACAATTAGAGAGTAACATCCATACTGTAAATTTCCATTACTGACTTGTTCATGCGAATACAATATGCATACACAGAATATGCCCGGCCAGATGCATAAACCCCTCCTACCAGGAGCACGACTATATCATAAATTTACATCTTTCGAAGACGTAAACTCTCCATTGTTATTGACCAAATTGTACCTATAAGCTAAACCCTAACATCGTCATGTGCATAGAAGCTCACTGAATCAACAACCACGAAGGTCACGCCACCTGAGATAAACCAATCCCGCACGATAGTGAGTGTATGCACCAGCTACCACTAATATATGAAATAATTGGTGGCTATGCCCAGCAATGTCAAATTTCCCAGGTTTCCAACGTTCTGGGATCCTAGTAGCATAAACTAGCGCTCCAATCCCATAGAGAGCGCCCATCAAAATCTCATACCCTGTTGTGCGGAACACCTCAGGTTCACCCCAGAACAAATAAAGCTTGTGGAGAATAGGTGCGACACCCGAGAGACCCATGCCGAAGAAGAGGGATGCCCGTATTGTGCGGAATTCTGGGTTCTGGAAGACCGGAAGGAGAGAAAACAAGATGGTGGAGATACCCAGCAGTGTTATGGATAGTAAGTAGAGGTTGCAGAGTAAGGGATTGCACATAAAAGAGTAATACACTGGAGGGTAGAAGGAGGTGGATATCAGAGCTGCAATTCCAGCATAGTCGAGCCTTAGCATGATGTATGCCATGCGCTCTGAGTGACAAGAGAGGAGGTGGCATACACTGCTAGCCAGCAAGCAAAACATGGCACCCCCTAAAAATGCAAAAAATGGCCACCTTGTAATTGGTCTCATCATCAACGGTGCAATTATGTTAGCTAGGTCCTCCTTCACACTATGCTGCAAGAAATAACCAAACAAATAAGCAAATGGCTCGTTAAAGCCAGTCAATCATCTAGATAATCTGATGAAAATTGTACGCGGAGCACATCATATCCTAGTGAACGTTATAATCATAAATTCAATGCAACTAGCAGGCCTGCACCAGGAACTTAAGCTTTCATTGACAACCAGCTATCATTATCATTTACTCTATGTTTCGCCTCAACTATGACATCTGAATTTCTTCCACAGTCTAAATATGCAATGAATTGTAACCTTGGTGATATAACTACCTAATACTACCTCCGGTCCTTAATATAAGACCCTGTTTGACATTTATTTTGATCCTAAATATAAGACCCCAATCCATTTTGTCTCTCATATTTATACATTTTTTTTTTCCAAAATAGCCCTTCTAACAATGATAGTTCTAGTCAATACACTTGATTAGCAAGGATATTTTAGGAAAGACAACACCTATTTAGAACAAATAACTAACTCAACTTATTTCCTTAATCTCCTCAAATTAGTCAACTGGTTCTTATATTAGGATCGGATGTAGTACAAAATTGAATCTGTGCATTAATCACTCACCAGTAGTCTGACAAACACACAAACTCAAAAAGAAGAAATTATAGGCAAGTAGGTAAAAGTGAAAGTTGCCCAGATATCAATAAGAATCCAAATCTTATGATATCCCTCTAAAAGAAGAATTAGAAAAACTAGTAGTCTGTTGTAAAGCAATTACCAGAACACAACCATCAGTATGATTACCACTGGAAAATCGTTCTGGCAAACAGTTATACAGAAGTTCCTTTACATGCCAACTTGAAAGTGATGTAAGCATATCCATTGAGGGCAATGAAGGAAGGCATTTCAGAAGTTCTTCTTGCAATTTGTGCAGATCAGCCTTCTTCACAATGCCATGAAAATGCTGAAGAGAATGAAGATCAACTACCTTCGGAACTTTCATGGCAGTGTATATGGTCAATGCCAGAAATAGGAAGAATCCAATCAAATGCCTGTAGTAATAACAATTTATGATTAGGAGTAAGAAAATTACATACAAATAAGAATGTGCGTTTCAGTGATCAATATTCTTAAAAGGGATTAGACGACAAAAGAAAAGCAAATGAATAAAGCAATGGATTCACATATTTTCTTTAACAACACTTAGATGGAGGAGGGAAAAGGAGGAGGAACACTAAACAGAAAAGGGCGAAAAGGAAAGGCACTGGCACAATTTTGTTGTACAAAAAGGCATATGACAATCCATGTGTATTTAATATTCATTTTCTGAAGCGTTCACAATAGCTTTTGAAAAATTTATCATCCACACAGCAAGACAGAGCAAATAGTCTATTCGAAGTAAATGGCATTTAGAAAATTGCACGTTTATTCTTTTAAATTAAAATCTGTTGCTTCCGTAATACATAATGGAGATAAGCTGCAATAATAGAATCAACCAATACATCCCCGGGATCTAATGAATGTTAAGAAGCAGTTCATTTACGGAACTCATTATGAACAAAAAGTCCAGGTCACATCCAATCCAATGGTCCTAGTTTTCCTTTCCAAATAGGCAACTTCAAACAAGTAACAAATTACATTTTCCGTCTGCAGCTGTACCAAGTAGTCTGTAAAATAATTATGATTAAGACACAATTTAATAACACTCCATCGCAGTCGGATTCATAGATAGTAATTATATCCTTAATTAGCCACTGCATGCCTTTTCACATCACAATTTATGGAAATTGTTAACACAAATAATTCTTGGCAACCTTATGCTAAGATGTACAGACAAGACATAAGAAATCAATATAATAAAAGCGATGATAAATTACATCTTTTAAATTCAATTTTCATCAACTACAGCAAGAAGTATTAAGAATAAGGAGGAAGAAACGCTAATTAAATAGTTTGATAGAAGAAGTCTTACGTCCAAACATTCAGTGTTTCATTATGAATGCTAAAGACACTGAGCAACGCCTGCTTCAAGGGCCATTCTGATCGGTAATGACCTAGAATGTATTCATTGTCTCTCAAGTAACCCGGCAAGCAGTGGTACTCAACCAGTTGGTACTTCACCTTCTTCCACAATCTTTTCCCCTTCCCCGCCCTAGCAGAACATCTCCCATGGTTCTCCATCGTTAATCCAGAAGACTCTACCATATCGTCATATTTCGCATGATGGCCAGCCATTCTCTACTACTGAACAAAGTGAAAGAAACTGTAAACACATACAATTACGAAGAAATATATTAAGCAGAGCTATATTCTGGCGTAGATAAATGTTGGCGTCATCCCATCAAAGAAATTTTCGCAAGCTATTCGATGCGTTCCAGATAAGAACAGGAAAGAAAAAAAAAATATTGGGAAAAGATCAAGATAATGCATAAGTACGTGAGAAACAAAAGATTCTTCGCTACATCTTCTATGCCCCTAAACATCAGCCTATGTGAGATCACAATAGAATATCAAATTCAGAAGATAATAGAATACCAACAGTCTCCAACACTGATCAAACAAAATTCCAAATAATACGAAAAGAATTACCTGAAGCCGAAGAACCACCAGCTAAGAACGACCCTCAGATGGAGACTCTTCTTGTAATATGTAATCTATTCAGAAATTTGTCCTGGCGAGGAAATTGAAGGCCGAAAAGAGCTGTAGTAAAGAGCGAAAAGAACAAAATATTGAAATACAGAGGGAGGGGGAGGAAAACGACCCCCCGGGGGGGGTAAAAAGGGCAAGTGGAGAAAATTCCAATTAGCTGACTGTGGAATGAAACGAATTTCCCAGCTATGCGGTGAGAGATTAACGATGGAAGAAAAGACGAGATCCCTGGACGAGATGCGGAGTCGTCGACGGACGGAGGAGTAGAATTATATATAAATACGTATGATTGTCTCGTCTGATTCGTTCGCTCCGATTTTGAAGGCGACTTACCTGGGTTCCTGGCTCTCCAGTTCTCTGGAGTCTTTGATCTGGAGTCTGAAGTCTGGACCGGGCGGGCTTCCATTTCGGTGGGAAATAAATAAAATTTATTTGTAAAAACTATTCCAATCCTTAATAAGTTGATTAATTGTTTATAAAAAAAAAGTTGATTAATTATTTGATTGATTAATTGAGTAGATTAAAAAAATTAATTTAATTATTTATTTATATAATTATATTTATTTTTCTTAAAATATTTTTATTAATATTATTCATTTAATGAAATCTTTAATATGTGTAACTATTATAAAGAGAACTATTTTGAGAAAAAATAAACAAATATAAAAATAAAATAAACAGAGTCTTTATTTAAAACCAAATTGAATATTAAATTAGTTTCTATATTAAGGATTGGAGATGTTGTTTAAACAGCTTGGATTTTTTTTTGGTCAACACAAAACAACTTAATTCTAATAAATTGGAAAACATGATGAATGATTAATATAAAATAATTATGTTGACAAAAAAATATATATGACTATTTTCCGTTCTTAATATAAAAGTTAGTTTGAAATTCAATTTATTTAAATATAAGAACTTAATCCACTTTATTTTTTATATTTATTTATTTTTCAAAGTAATCTTTATAGTAGTTATATGTGTTAAAATTTCATCAAATGCTAGTTCTAACTAATATACATGATTAGCAATGATATTTATTATAAATAACTAATCTAACAATTTTTTTAATTTATTTAAATAATTAATTAGTTTTTTTTATATTAAAGATTGAAAGTAGTATAATTAATTTTTTTTATTTATATAATTAAATACATGCAAATAAATATACCGACATCATATATGCAAATAAATATACCGACATCATATCATACTTAAATCTGAAATCACATATGGACATGATGAGTGATGTACAACTGACCGTTAACTTCGCCCTTAGGAAAGGGGGAAAAACTTCAGGCAAAAAAAAAAAAAGGAAGGGGGGAAAAACAGAAAATAAATGAGACTTGGATGAAAGAGAGGGGAAAATATCTTGGAAAGGACAAGGGGTTCGGGAGCATGCGAAAAGTAAGAAAGCGAAGATGTCCGCTCGTGAAGTTGAGTAGAAGTTAGTGTGCAGCACCACGTGGCCTAATATTCCGAAGCATATTACTCATACTTGTCGCCATTCTGAGGTCCCGTGCGCATTCAGCATGCCTTTCTCCCTCCTCGTCCGCAGCCACAATTAATAATATCATTCTCATTTTAAAATTTGAAAATTCATTATTAAAAAAATAAAAAAATAAAATGCTTTTACAAATAATTGAAAATATAAAATTACATCCTTTTAAAACGAGTTGCATCCCATCAAGGACTCGCTCAAAACTTGAGTCCCTGGATGCATTTGCAAAATCAATTTTCTAATTAGGGACTTTTTTATATTTATATTTATGTTGAAATCAATGTTATGCTAATTATATATCCACTTTAAACAGTAACCTAGTTTAATGTTTCATTTTAATGTTACAACAGAATTTAACATCAGTTCAATTATTTTATTATTTTATTCACCATAAGAATTTACCATTAAATATAAAATGAGCATTTGAATATAAATAATCTGACAAGATCACAAAATTCCAATTCGAATTATTTTCGCTTTAAGATGCCATCTAAAACAAAAGGAAATGAAAAACTTCAAACGAATTATCAAACTTTGATTTATCATTATGATTTTTCTTAATGGAGTATTATTATTATTATCATCTCCTCCTGGCCTTATAATGTTTCGTTTCCACTGCATAATTGCAAAAAAATTTCAAAAAAAAAAAAAATTGTTTATATTTTTTTTTTTTTGGTTACAAAAGAGGGCTGAACCCAAACTAAAAAATAAACTAACTCAGGTGGGATTAATTCCCACATTCTCTTTCTCCACACAAGCCCTAAGTAATCTGGGCAAAAATCATAAAAAGAGGATTTAGAAATTCCCAATTTAGCAAGAGCATCCGAAATTTCATTCCCGCCTCTACATATATAATTTAGCTCAACTTGCGATTGGAGATTCAGCATATCTTGGTATCTACATTATCATGAGGGGATGCAGTGTCTCTTGTTTCCTTCTTTAACAGCATATCAATCAAACTCTTGTAATCAGTTTAAAGCGCGAAATTTTTTTGCGAAAAAAATTTAAGTGAGTTAGGTTCTAAGCTTATCAGAGCCAGAGCATGTTTCTAGACTCAAAAAACACTTACAAAGATACTTATAGATCACCTACTAACAAGATTCTTATATCAGCAGTGGATTCAAACTTATGATTTTATGAGTTATGAATTGATTTCTTATTAACAGGACTAACTTTTATTGGTACAACCATCACTGTCTTGAAACCAAAATCCCAGTCTATTGCAAACCTTTGAAGATATATTTTAGCTTGCAAACACTACATTTCCCGATTTGATAAGAAAAGCCCACAATCCAGTGTCCGCTGTGATTTCTAATAACACCTATCCTGCATGTGCCCAATATCTTGACGCTGCTAAAAAAACGTTTGAAGAAAGTCAAAAACTTGATTATGTAACTGGGCCACGCCAAGGCCCCAACGCCAAATGGGTTCGTCTTTAGTCCACACTCACTCCATGCCCAATTTTCTAGATAATGTAAGCTTTCCTTTCTTTTTTTAGTAAAGATAGTATAATTTGTTCAAAAAAAAGATAATTGAAATATTATATTGATAAGGAAAAAAATCAATATATCTATATGTAATATAAAAGTGTAAAACTGTTAATAAGCCGTATTCTTTTTTTTTAATATACATAATAAGAAGGACTCCAAAATAAGCTATTATTTATGCAACACGTTACACAATACATTTTTGACACTGGACTTCATACTCCTTTTGTTTTTTGTTAGAAGCAAGCACAAGGGAAGGACACCCCATTCCGTCTCTAAGGATCAAACTAGACAAGCCTCTACGAGGCAACACAAACTTACACAAACCTTCATCATAGTGAAGACTAAAGTTCGCGAGCCAATCTGCAACAAAGTTATCTTTTTTGTACGTGTGATTTATTCACACCTGGGCATCTTTGTTTTGTGATTCTAACCAGAACCGAATAATTCTATTAATCACCGTCTTATCTTTCCATGCCTCTTGAAATAAATGAATTGCTACAAATGAATCACCTTCAATGATGATCCTAGTGATTCTCTGAGCTAATTTCAATTCATTACTATCTCCCCATAATTCTGCAAAAAGGGCATTGCAAGTTTCCAGAAAAATCACAAATCCAACTCCCATTCTCAGTCCTCAGCACACCCCCACACCCTGACACCCGGCGTCTCCTGGATTTCTTTAGTAGCACCATCAAAGTTAAGCTTCGCGCAAGCCACTAGGAGAAAAATTCCATTTAATGTTCTTCACACATCTGAATCTGCCTTTGCTGCCCCCTTTCTGGAAGTAGGTGTTACATTTCCCCAAATATTTTATGATGATCAGATTTTCATACTCTTAATTTTACGATAACCCAATGAAAAATAATGATGCTAGTATGCTAGCCCCAGTGTTTTTTATTTTTTGGCCTACGAGATGCTACCCCAATGTTAATTTATATCAATAAGTAAAAGAGAAAACCATCTTGCGGTTATTGTATCTTTTTTATTTTTTAATTTGCTACTTATATTTTTATTCTCTTAATCAATGCTTTAATTTTGCTTTATTATCACAGTTGCCCCCTATACAAATGTTAATGATACCGACATAGCAAAATTAAAGAATTTAATTCACAGAGGAAAATTCAAAAGTATCAAATTAAAAAGGATTATTTAGATACAAATTTGTCTTGAAAGTTTTTATTTAGGTGTATCAGGCACCTAGAAGATTTTCAATGTGTAAATTTTTTCTGAAAATTTAAAATAATAACAATCTTGTCCCTTATTATTAAAAAAGCTAATGTTGACCATTAAAATAATAATGTTAATCATTAACATTTTTAATGACAGGAGGCAACATTGTTATGATTTTAAATTTTCAGGATAAATTTGCAACTCACCTAACTCTCGTAAGTGAAAACTTTGAAAGCAAAATTTCACCTTGAATTATTTGTTCAACAAGAAAGATTGCTTGCGGGGCTGTGAATTTTGAAGGGTAAGTTGTAAATTGAGTCCGTAATACCCAATTTTAAAAGAAAGCCTTTTATAGATAACCTCAAGTTCAACACTTTTCACCTGTCACAGAATCAAAAGGAGGAAAAAAATCGATTCATTGAGAGGTCCATTGCAAAAGGAAGCTTCCTCTTTCAAGTCACTTTTTTGCGTTTATAATATGATTCGTAACAACCACCTCACGAGGTAGACAATCTCTGATTACACAGCAAATCATTCTCGTATTGTACCCACTGTCCTATTTGATAATATGTTCTGTGTGTCTCTCCTATTTGATATTTCCTGGTTCTCTCTTTGCGTTTTGCCCCTCCTTTTTGTCTCTTTCTTAATAAATTTTACTACATGCTTATATCTCAAGCAAGCTTTCAAATTGGAAATGGTTATCTTGTTTAAGCTTATATATGGCAATCTCTTTGTCTCTTCTCCAGTGGAGCCTCTTTATATTTCATCCTCCCATGCTGCTTGTCTCTGCCCTTTTGCTTCAAAAACTAATCAATTTTCTGTATTTGGCAGTGTGGCATTTGTGCTTGTTCAATTTTGATTAAAATGACAAGGTGGAATCTTATTTCAATGGACCACTCAATCAATCATGGAGTTACCATCAATGAGTAATTTTAAAGTAAATGATTGAAAATGATATTTAAAAAAAATGAAACACATGCTTTTTTAATTGCACGTTAATATATGCAAATTAATTAATAGTTCATATATTATAGATTTTTTTAATAAAGAGATCTATGTTATAAAATCAAAAGAGTTGTATAATTAAGATTACCGTTGAAGAGGATAGGGAATAGGAAACTAATAAAATGACACACATTTTTAATTGCACATTAATATATGTAACTTAATTAATAGTTCATATATTACAGATTTTTTTCGATAAAAAGATCAAATTTATAAGATAAAAAGAGTTATACAACTAAGATTACCATTAAAGAGGTTAGAGAATGAAAAACTAATAAAACATTAGTTTTGTTAAAAAAAATAATTTGAGAAAGATTGAAGCAGCATTTTGACATCCTTTTTTAAAATGCCATTGAGATGAGAATGATCATGTAGACTATTAATAAAATTTTCTTATAAGAAACAACATTAACCTGACTCAAGGATCTAGAGAGAAGTGGTGCTACTTGTGTAATTCCTGGAAAGGAGAAGTTCATATGTTGTAGATAGAGTCAAATGGAGTATGTCATAGCCTGCTATGTTATTTTACTTTATTTAAATAAACGCTGATGTGTTTGATTGACCTCATAATTCAAGCGTACGGCAACTTTGGATAAATTTAAATAGTTCACTTATCATCGAGGGTTGAATTACTTCTATTATTAATATTAAAAAAAAATCTAAGCAGTTAAAAAGACTAAACAATAATAAGTGATTCAAAATAAATATTTTTATTTTGCATGGAGAATATTCACACTCAACCCTAATTTCACAATAATTTTATTTCGGTTCTGTGTAAGTTATGTTGAGTTCAAAAAGTCATAACTATTAAGTGTTAAACATCCAACCCTTTAACTTGTTATAGAAGATAAGCCAACTGTTAGAATTCAAAGACAAAGCATGATGAACATTACGGCCCTCTAAATCCAACGGTACCCAGATTAGTACAAAACAGTTGCTTTTGTGCATCTGAACCTTCTTTTATCTCCATTGTGAATCCATACGAGTATGAAGATCTTGTACAAATATAATCTCCTACAGAAACAACGTCAGCTTGCATATTGTATTTTGTCACTTGTTTTTAACATGACAGAGTCGGATCTCATTCTCACAATGGCTTATTCAAAAAAAGAATCTTATTATTTCATGAAAAAATTCAACCAGTCTAATAAAAACTTTCCACACCTTACACTGAAAACAAAAAGAAGAAGCATCAACAACAAAAATTATTTCAATTGGTAAAGAGTCGGCTCATAACTCACAAAATCGTGAGTTCGAATCCCGCTACTGATATAAAGACTTTATTGGAGAGCAATATGTAAGTACTTTTACGAGCGTTCTCTGAGCCTGGAATCAGTCCTCATCTTGGAGAGATGAAGGCTCGGGACGAAACTCATCTAGACTTTCTTTGTATTTTGAAAAAAAAAAAAAAGCACACTGCACACACAATCACACCAACACACCAATGGGGGAAAAAGTAAAATGAAAAGAATCAGGAATGGAAAAATTGAAAGCAATTTCATGGCACTTGTTGGCCATCTTCTCTTGACGAAACACTTGTGAAGTCAAAGTCACGGGTTGTGATCCTTGCTGCTTTCTTGCATAGCTGCAAGATCAAGCACACAAGTAGGACTTAGGGGCAATGAATCTAAATTCGTTGCTGCAAAATGTTCTGATCGGAAACTCCTCTGTTTCATGAGGTTGTAACATTTCTGCACCATCTCCTGTGCTCAACATCAAAACCAACAAGATTGTCATTAAACGGTGGAAATTGAAAAAACCTTTATTTATGTTCTGTAACAACGTTGTTCAGGCTTACTCCGCTTATATTCTCGTGGAAGAAGCTTAGATTCTGTTCATCAACATATTGATTGGTTGTCCAAAGCAGAGCAGCGGCCGCTATTGCAGATGGAGGGTACTCTAAGAAATCGGTTACTGTTTAAAAGAAAAATAATCGAGTTATCATATAATTGTTTGGAAATATTGATAGCAGTCAAAGAAAAGGATAAAAACCTTAAAAATTGTACCTAAACATGTTCTGATTAGAATATCAGAGACACGAGAAATAATGTGATAGGAGGCAGAGCATGATAGCTTGGCCTTAGCAATGAAAAGATGAGCGAAATCGAAAGGAGTAACAGCACGCAATCGCCACCTGAGAGCGGCCATAACCAAAAGCTCCATTCTTTGAACTGTCTTAGGCTTAAACAAGAACCTAGGCTCTATCATTTGTAAGTCTACTAAAAGTGGCACCCTTGTTTCTTCCATTTTTGCCGCCACAGACAGGCAAGCAACGGCCACTAGCTGCAAAGGCCATGCTTCATCTTTCTGCACATATTAAAACCTTCATATTATGACAGAAATTTGCATTCTAAATTCTCTATCCAAATCATTCTCAATCTGAAAACTATACCGGCAGTGGGTGTGACAAAAGAAAACGATCAAGATAGTTCACAGATAGATATGCTGTCCCTGGTGTAAAACTGTAGTAACCTTGCACCTACACAATCAGAATTCAGAACAATATACATATATCTCAGCACCATTGCAGACAGGTCATGGATGATGGGAAGTTATATGAACGAACCTTCAGCATCCACTTTATGGCTTCTTCTCGAGCAGTTCTGAGCCATGCTTTTTCATGAAGCAGTGCAAGTGACTGTTGTCTTTCCTGTACTTGATCAACCTCGGAATCTAGTAAGGTTAAGACACAGCTTTCATCATCGGAATCCCATGGGACACTCGAAACCGCCAATGATTCACAGTTGGTAATATTGGAATCCGATGAAACCACCTCGCTAGCTGCTTCATTGCAGAACAAGTCAAGATTTACTAGGTGGTTCGGGGACACGGACATGGCGATTGAGTATGTGTATCAGCTGTAGAACAAAACAATGGAGAATACCCACTTGAAATTATTAGATTTATATGTGATTGTGTGAACATGTTACAAGAATCAAGATTACGTCATAAAGTTAATTTACAAGCCCTGCAAAAGCAACGTACCAAGGGGGACCCTGTACAGTTTCTCATGAAACTTCGTTGAAAGAGAAGCCAAGCTTGGTAGGACCGTTCCAAAGAGAACGGATGCTTCATCAGATGATTGTGTTTGTGTGTATATGAGAGCCGTCTCTATCATATTGACCATAGGATTGCAATTTTCGCATTATGCAACAGACATTAACTTATACACACACAGCTAACACCGATTGGAGAAATCACGGGTGGCAGTATGTAGATCAAACGCACCTACAGGTTGAACGCTCCTACTTTTGTTTTCTTTTGTTTTGTGAAGTTAAAGGCTATGATAGTAAGCCGTACAAGAAGAAACTTAGGTGCAAGTAGCAATGAGCTTGTCATACACATCAAACCATAAGAAGTTCCTACAGTCTATGGGAGTGAAGGCCGTTAGGTTGAATTCTTGTCATCATCATTATGACTATGACCATTTAATCTCGCATCAAGAGCTCCCTAATTTTATTAATGGTATTTATCAATTGGTGGTTACTTGAGTATTCTTTCTCAATTGATTTTAAAGCTTCTATAGAGTTGTTACACATACTAACTTTTCTTAATCTCAGGTCCGAATTAAGTTTGAGACGTTCAAGAATCCTCTTCCACCGGAACAAAGTGCTTGCAACTGAGAGCATAAAAGTTTCCTGTTGAATGCCCTAATATGGCATTTTGTCACATATTGTTAGACCATAGCATGTGTCAATATGTAAATCTATCTTGATTAAGTAGTTATACAACAATACTCACACATATTCTGTTATTAATTACTTTTCTGATCTTATTTATAAGTTACTTCCAACATGTTTCATACAAATCAAGAAAAACTTTAAATTTTATTAACTCTCATTTAAAATTTAACAACTTTCCAACTTTATCCATATTTAATATACATTATACCTCATGTAAATAAAGTCAACACAATAATAAATAAAAAATAAAATTATATCTCTATACAAAAAAATTTTAGGACTAAAGAATGTCTTCTCTCTCTATCCTATAAATAGAACCAGAGGAGTAAGTTATAACTAATCTATCTATGTATTTGATTATAAATACTTTGAGTCACTAAGTTTATTTTCCACACTTTCTGAAATCTTCACCTGTATTAATCAATATCAAGTAACTTCAGCTCTTTGGTTCGTTGATTTATCCACATCCAAGAGAACCCACCGTACTTTGGTAGGGCCGGATCCACCTAGATTGTTGACGTCTTTTTTTGCTCAGCTGCTAGTGGTGTTTCCATTTGCTTCCAATTTGGGGTCTTCAATGGCTTGCTAGGAGTTGGGGAAGATGATATCTTTCTAGATTGTTCTCTCTCTAGTATATTTTCCTGCATCTTGATTTCCACCAGTTTAATGAGCATGGGTGAAAATTCTTTACTATGCAGGTAATCTTATAGGTTTTTCATTTCCCATCTCTCGTTCTTGACATTTCATAGAATACAAACCTTCTTGCTATCGGAAAAAAGATGTGTATGTTACGCGTTGAATCTTTAACAAGTTAGGCAAAACTTCCTAAATTCTACGTAACATGAATAATATGAAATGATAACCTGATATAATTTGCTCATTACTTTGGCTTGTATCATGACAATATAATATTTGTCTATAGGCTATACTGAGTAGCTTGAGGGATGGAGTTATAAGTAAACCAAAATTATAAGGATTAAAAGATTAATTTTTTCCCCAAAAAAAAAAGTTGATCTTCTAAAAAAAAGTGAATATTCAAATCTTGATTTGGCACATTATGAGGAACTAGCATCTTGCTGTAGATTCAACCCCCATTTGTTCCTCACACACATATTTTTTTTTCTAAAGTTAAGGTATCCTCCTATTATAGGCAATCCTATTCGAGGTACTGTTAAGCACTAAATGTGAACACCTCTCCCAACAAAAGTTTAAATCTTGATTCACCATGTTGTGAGGGATTAGTCCTTTCTGTTAGACCCAACTCCAGTTGGTTGCTCACACATGCATGAGAGACTTGATGCGGATTACAGTTATTTGGGCTTGCAATGTGGGCCTGACGAAAAATCTCAAAGCCCAATGATGGTATTGGATTACAGGAACACAACATATTTTACGGCTTCGAAACCGGGTAAGTGCTGGGGCCTACAAAGTTTGGATCCAGTTTCCCACTATTTTTCCTCTTTCCATCTTTTCTGTTAACTTTTTGTTTTTTTTTTTCAGCCAACCATCTTTTCTGTTAAGTTAGTGTGCATAGCATTAATTAGTTTTAACTTTTAATCAAGCGGGTGTTTGGCATCCCCCAAAGTTGAATGGGTGGGGAAAAAGGGTGTTTTGTCCTTTATTTTTCTTTTTTTGACAAATTAATGCTCACGGTCTTTATCTTGATTTTTCGTTAATAAAATAATTTATAAAATTAAAAGTGACAAATACTTCTTTTCATAATTTCACAATTATCAAGAACACATGTTGTCATATATATTTATTTTTTTATAGTAAATTACGGTAAATTATACAAGTTTTCTAAATTTTAGCATTTATTTTCAGAATGTGCGTACTTTTCTTAATATAAAATTCGCAAATTTTCATGAATTTTGCTTCTAAATATATGCCGATGTGTCCTTTATTTTCAACATATGTAAGACTTTGCTTGTAAAGAATACAAGTCTTTCTTGAATTTTGTTGATATTATTCAAATTTTTTTATTTTGAAAAAAAAAAAGAACTTACATCAAATTTTTTACATTCATTTTATCAATTTTTTCAATTACACATGGTCATTTGTCCTATTTTATTCATAAAATAGAACACATGACCATAGGTAATTAGAGACCTTGACATAATATATATAAAAAATTTGACCCTGGTATTGTCCGAAAATGAAAATCTTGCCTATACTTTAAATTTTAAACATTGGAAACACATAGAAGCTTAATGGAATTAAAAATATCTGAGAAAATTTTAATTTTTAAAATAAAGTAGTTCAGTGAAATTTTTATAAAAAATGATTAATTTTTTAACACAATGACAGAGACTACAACTGTTAATTAGGCATCGACGACCACAAATATAAAAGAGGAATTAATGTGCAAAAACAACGGATGGTTAAGGGAAGTGATATTTTAACTCAACACGTACAGTCTAATCTTGTTTGACCTGCAAGTATCGTGGGCTGCTGCTGGCCATGCTTCCTCATTTTTTAATTAATTAGTTAATCATCAATTTGTTGTTATTTTAATTTTTTTCAAGGCAAGACAAAAACAGCCTGTGACGAAAAGATAAGGGCTAAGCAAGATTCAAATAAAAGTATAAAACTACGTCTCCTCAACGCTCAGCTGCTCCCTCAATCACCCGCCAGACACAGCTTAGTTTAAAAAACCAAACGAAAGAAAAACTCATTAGATCCTTATCAGCATGAAGAATACGTTAAGTTGATGCCCCATCTTGTCGTATTACCTTCCCAATACGAGTGATTTTCCCGGAACGACAGCAATAATATAAAGAGAAAGTCACTATACAATATACCAGAGAAGTTACATAATTACTAAAAAAATTTGATAAGTTTTAACGTAGAAAATGACAAAAAAATTTATACTGCTTACTTATTATTAAAAATTTTCATATTTATATTCTTTTTTTTTTACAACTTTATAGTGATTTCCTTTAATATAAAATGAAGAAGAGATTTCAAAAAATAATGAGGCATCATTATAACTCGTGGGAGTGTGGTGCCGTAGACTATATACAGATATTAGTAATAACAAATCTTATCTCATTAGGTGAAGTAGAGCACATAGAACAAATGATGTGTTCTATGAGTATATAGATTCATTGCAGGCAAAATCTTTAGATGGGTAGATTTACATGGAGCTTGAAAAATACTCCTCCGGTCCTAATTATAAGACCCAATTGACTTATTTGAGGAGATTAAAGAAGTAAGTTAAGTTAGTTATTTATAATAAATAAGTATTGTTATTACTAAAATATCCTTGCTAATTAAGTATATTGGCTAAAACTATCATTATTAGAAGAATTATCTTTGAAAAAAATGTATAAATATAAAAGAGAAAATGGATTGGGTCTTATAATTAGAACCAAATAAAAAATTAAATTAGATCTTATAATAAGAATCGGAGGAGTAATATGAAATGAATCTTTGAGTGACGATGAGGAGGGAGAATCTCAAAATGAGACGTCACTGACCTCTAAATATTCCAAAACCAGGTATCGATGTGATGATGCCCCGCAATAACCAAGAGTTGCTGGCCCGCGGGATGAGTCCCGAATTCGGAAGCCTGTGAGTTTAGACTTGATTCCATTACGTTACTTACAACAGCATCCCGCCAAAAAGATCGAGACTTTGAGGGTCTGTTTGGCTTAATAAGAAAAAGAAAAAAAAGAAGGAGAATTTAATGGAGGAAGAGAAAGAGTGGAATGATTTTAATATTACTTTATTTAGACTTATAAAAAAGAAGAGGAGAGGAGTTTTAATATTATTTTATTTGGTTCATGAGATGAGGGGAGGGAAAAATATTTTAACATGTACAATTTTACCTTTATTTTATTTAAAATAAAGACATAATAGTCTCAACATAATAAAATATGAACATAATAGTCATAACATAGCAAAATATTACCCTCTTCTTTCAAATTCTTTCAATTTTGGAGGGGAGGTTGAGGAGGAGAGGGGAGGAAATTTTTTTTAAAATTTTCCTTTCCTTCTTAAAATTTATATATTATCAAATAAGAAGAAAAGATTAAAATTTTTCTTTCTCTTTTTTCTCCTTTCTAAATCTCTCATACTAAACACATATAAAGAAAGGGGAAGAGAGAGAGAATGGTAAATAACTGAATCATTTATGAAAGTGGGTTCCACTTTTAATAAATGAACGAGACAGGCCCCACATTCTTCCTTATATAGAGTGCAAACACAGCAATTCGCAGACCCACTTCTCATAGCTCGCCCTCACAATTCACAAAACGACGACGATTCATGCTCGTCGAAACGACCCTCCCTTCCCTCCTTCATTGCATATGACTATATGATACAAGCTTTTATGAACATTGTTCCAACAGAATTTACCCTCCTCACGCTCGCAATCTTCTCAGGTTTAGCTCCGATCTTATCAAAGCTCAGCCAAACCGACCATTGCTCAATTAAGAGGCATCACTTATTATAAGCTCATCACTATAATTTCTCGGTTAGCGGTAACAGTTGGTCACATCCATCCATCAGCTCTCCCTTGATTCTTGGCGTGCGTCAGTGAACGTGGAAGAGCGTCAGATTCATTTATAGCTCACGCTCTCTCTCTGTGTCTCTCCGTAAGCTGATCTCTCTCTCTCTCGTTTTTTTTTTTTGGTTTTTAATGCGTCTCATTCTTCCATCAGAAACAGTTACCCCTGACCTGCTTAATGCATGCTTCTCAAACGCCTTCCCTGTTGAAACGTAACGCGACAATTGAATTGAAGCGTTTTCATTGTTATTCTGCTCAGTAGGTGTGCTGCGATCGACTTGAGTTCCGATCATGGGGAATTGTCAGGCAGCGGAGGCGGCGACGGTTGTGATTCAGCATCCCGGGAATAAGATCGAGAGGATTTACTGGTCGGTGAGCGCTCACCAGGTGATGAACTCCAATCCTGGTCACTACGTTGCTCTCGTTGTTACTTCGCCCACCCTCAAGTCCGAGAATGGCGCGCCATTGAAGCAGCTCAAACTTCTCCGACCCGACGATACTCTGCTTATGGGCCAGGTTTATCGCTTGATCAGTTTTGAAGGTTCGTAATGTTGCTGCTACTATATTACTCTCGCTGTAGCTCTTCTTTGTCGCTGCTTTTTCCTTTACCGCGAAAGTTTTTGGATCCGCAGATGTATTAAAGGAGCTGTCTGCAAAAAAATGCGTTAAACTCGGGAAACTGCTGAAGGACAGAGGCGGTCTTGGCGTTCACATCAAACACAGAGACTCCAGAGCACCAAATCCGAGTCCGAGTTCGAGACCCGATTTTGCTCCCTTGAAGGTAAATATCATATGGTGCTCTGTTTCGAAGTGAATAGTGCTAGCCTAAATCACATAAGACTCGAACATATTTTTCACTCAAATGATGAAGTGTTAATAATTGAGGTTCAGCATTCTACTTTGATCGATTCTTTTTGGGGCGTAAGAATTGTTAGTGATTTGATAACTAACGCAGGGATCACGTTGCACAATGGAAGGCATCTTTACTTTGCATTTTTTACCTTGTTCTTTTTTTTCAGTGGGTAAATTTATAGAAAACCTTATCTTCTTTGCCCCTGGAAGAACCTGATAATTGTTTAATTAAGCACGAATCTCTAGGCTGATCTTTTTATTTTGTTCAGCCATATGTGTTAGTCAAATTTGAAAGAATAACTAATCACATCATGAATATGGAAGAGATTAGCGTGCCTTACCATTGCACGTTGATTCGGATGCATCAGGAGCGTGCTCATACCATATTCTCTTGCTTTTAAGAACTAGAATCATTGCGAGTGCATGCAATGATTGTTTTGATTTGCGCAAAGCTGTTTGATATCTAGCATGGCTATCTACAATCGATTTAAAGTCTTATTCAGATTTTCATGGGGACAAGCTATTAAACAAGACAAAAAAATTTAATTTTGTTTGCGTGCTATTAATGTTAAAACTTTGCCATCATGATGATATAAAATAAAAATAACATTAGGTTTGTGTTGCAAGCTTTACCTAGGTACATGATTGGCACACTAATTACTTTGTCACAAGATTTTGACTTCTAGGGTAATAGTAAGCGAGAATCGTACGTCAAACAGTGCATGCTCCATTATCCAAAGGATAATACTATAATCGTAGTGCTTTTGTTTGGTTACTTAACCACTTTTCTAAGTTTCTTCCCATTTCCCCTTCATGAGCACCACCTAATTTTAAAGTGACGTCACGACCGCCTTTGAGCTAATCACATATGATGGCGAGGATGCTTTTTGTCAAAGAAATCAATTCAAGCTGGAATTCTCTTGAAAGTTATTTCATTTACAGTAGTTAGTTTCAAATTCTCAGTCAGCTGATTATATTATTATTCGCACATGTAATCTTTTACCATCAAAGACAGAAAGATGAGCATGTCAATCACATTAAAGTTAAAACTTTGAAAGAAAATAATAAAAAAAAAAGGTAAAAAGATAAGGGATAACGATGTCACGTAAAGTCGTGCTATACTGCTCTGCACACTATTCATAAGGATGGGTGTGTATCAAAATGAGATGTCGTTTTCTTTTTGCCTTCATCGCTCTCCTTCATAACGTGTGTCTATCCAATTGCGCATAGCCATAAGTGGCCTTTATTTTATGTGTGTCAGGTGGAACAGGAGATTCACCGAATGGGAAGCAATGGCAGTGGTAGCAGCAGTCACAAAGTTGTGGGAAGACAATTTGGTGGTGGTGGGGGGCAATGGAGGCCAGCCTTACAGAGCATTGCAGAAGTTGGAACTTGAACGCACTATTCTGCCCTCGACAAATTACAAGCCGCAAACCAACCTTTCTTTTCACTCTTTCCAATACCATCATACAGTATCCGTCCTTAATTCTTAGAATTTTCCTGATATAATAGGGTGGTTTATGATGTAGCTTTCTTTGGAATGACACGTTTACTTCTTAGCTTTACATATCAGCCCCTAACGGCCTAACCCAATTAGTGTCGTACGTGTAATAGCAATTGCCTTTCCGTCTGTGAAATATTGTCGTTGTTCTCTTTTGTTGAAGTGTAGAAGTTTGCTTGGTAATTTGATAGTGAACTGGTTCTTGGAACGTGGATGTCCTGCGGGCAACCAAAAACGGCTTTTGCATTTTTTATTTTTATTTTTATTTTTAAAACTGTGAGCCCACGGAACCAGGAGGCTAGATTTATCTTAGGTGGTCCTGCCCCATTTTGATAATTTGATTCGCTCTCGTGTATAAACAGAGACGTACGTCTATAAAACTGTTTTGCTTCAAAAGTTTGACGGTGGCATTTATTCCCACACGACCATGAGCTGGAGCTGAATGCCTGTCTTGTGATCCGACGAGGCTCCGATCACACCCCTCTAGACGTTTTCTAATGATTTTTTTTTTTTTTAAAATTCGTGATGCACCATAAATGAAAGAGACCGCAAGCAAGGGCCTAAAATCAAGAGGTAAAGAGAATAGAATATGGAATGAACGTAAAAAGTGATTTTGAAGAGAAAATTCTGTATTCTTCATATCAACTGGATTTCAAATCAACCGAGCAGAAGTGAAGAACATTAAATTCATATCTTTCTGTTGTTGGCAATGAGGATAAAGGGGTTTGTAAGGGACTTTTGTTCTCTTAGTCCATTCTTGATGTGCTTTTGGTTTTAGAAAATCTGTGCACTTTACTCGAGCAATTTTCTGTTTTTGGATTTATCAAGTAAATATATTCTGAAGTGATAAAATGAAGGCACCAACTGCACCATGATACATGTTTTTTTAAGAAGAAACAAAATATCCATTCTCGTCTCTCTCCGCATACTAAATATTAGACTGTGATGAAACAAAAGGCGCAAATGAGCATTTGCCTTGGCACGCCTCCATAAACCTAGCTAAAGCTTTTTATGGAACGATGATCACTTTCATAAAATGGGCGAAAGCTGGATTGGAATTTTTAAATCTGATGAAGGCAATATATAACATCCACTTTGGCTCCTTATGAAGGATAAATCCACAGCAAGGGTTGCGGACGGAGCAAAGAATGAAGTTGTCCACTGAGCAGAGGAGAGACAAATTAGAGTTGAGAATAAAAACAAAGATAATGCACTGACTCAAATCTCGGGATCCGACATGTTTGTGTTCCTCTGCTAATAGTGCTGCCTCCACTATAACACCATTCATAAATATTAAAGATTTGCATGTAGTACGTACTTTTGCTTTTAATTTGATGTTTGTTGCTTTCATCATGAGTCAATAATGCACTCACTTTTCCCCCTTCTTTTCCCACATTCTTGCCTTTTCCCTCAAAAGCTTCAAGATCTTTGTTCTCAAATGTGTCTACCACTCTTCTTATTATTCACATGCATGATGCGCCTTCTTCCCTGTTTACCACCATTCGAACACGACACCTAGCAGCCTCGCTGTAACACAAAATTAAAAAGCCCCTGCATTTCGTTTATTTGTCCACAATAAATACTCTATTATTCGTTTGCTTCTTTATTCAATGTCAGCTCTGTAGAGCATTAGATTGATTGGTGAAAGTTGCTGTATTTGATCTGGACTATTTTTCTTTTTCTGTTAAAAGGGAGTCTCCTCAACTATCAATTAAAGAATTATGATTTAAAATATAGCAGTAAAAAAAAGCTCGAATTCAGATTTTTCTATATTTTATTCAGACCTGTTGGTATTTAAAAATTCCTAATGTTTGTAATGGCCAGCAAAATCATGGTTAGATTCTAGTGGTGATTTTTTTTCCCTGAAAGCTACGTACAATTGACATCTCCCCTTCCCCGTTGATCTTTTATTCTGTATTTAATTTCAGGAAAAAAATTATAATTTTTTCAAAAATGAAAAATGACTTTTTTTGAAATTAAAAGTTTAGTATTAGACCTTTTTTTTTATACGTGTAAGTATCCTCCTATTAAGAGCACTATTTGGCACTAAATGTGGGTACATATCTCATTAGGAATTTGAACATTAGTTTGCTACGTTGTAGAATACTAGTCCTTTTTTTTTTTGGGTGACAGAGGATGGGCTAAGCCCGAATACTAAGTGTGATCAACGTATCTTGGCACTCCTATTCCTAGCAAGTACTCCTTCAGAATTTCCTGGACAGCCTTTGGTGGTGTGAACCAAACCAATTTCTGCTCCGTTTGGCTTGCACCAAGGGATGCTATTTTGTCGGCACATCTGTTTCCTTCCCTGAAGACATGATTGAGTCGAACATTCCACTCTCCCGACAGCAACTCCTGAATAAGTCGGTAAGCTTCACTTCTCCTTTGTAGTTTTTTGTTTATTGCCTCAACTACTTGTAAAGCATCGTACTCTACTTCTACATTCTTGAACCCCATCTGCCAGTATATTTTGAGTCCCTAATATATCCCCCAAAACTCTACTTCCAGTGTTGTGCAGCTTTGCAGTTTTACCGAATATCCTTGCAACCACTCTCCACAATGCCCCCTTATCACTCCCCCACAGCCTGCCGTTTCTCCATGTGAGCTCCATCCATCCGAGTTCAGCTTGCACCATTACTTCTCGGGTGGCTTCCAACTTATCATTATTATCTCTCCTCTTCTCTCCTCGCTTACTCCAGCAACAGATTTGTTCTTGTAGTTCCGAAGATAACTATTAATAATGTCAGCTTTGTTATACGGTCTAACAAAATCCTGATCATGTACTTGGAGATTTCTCCATTTCCAGATTAGCTAGCATCCAATAGCAAATCTCTCTGGCCAATCATAATCCTTTATTCTTCTCCCCTTGTTTTTAATGTTTCGTTGCAACTAATTTCTTCCATTTACTTCGAAAAATAGTCGATCATGTTTCTGCCATTCCATTTTCTTCCACACCTGTTGGGCATAGGGGCAGTCTGATAGTGTGTGTAGCCAATCCTCACGTGCACTATAACTAATTCTGAATATATCTAAGCTACCATTCCATTTGCCTATAATTGCTTCAGTAGGTAGCCGCTGGTTGAACATGATCCACATGAATGCTCTGACTCGCTTTAGGGCCTGCAGTTTCCATAATTGTTTCTAGGGACTCCATGTCATTGATTGCGTCTCATTTCGTAACCATTTGTAGGCATGAGCAGTAGTGAAGGAGCCATCCTTGCTGATTTCCATACTGGTTTATGCACTTGGTACTGCTCCTCCCACTCAATATTGCTCTGCAACGTTTCTCTCAATTTGACTAGCTCTTTCCATAGTCTAGAGTCTCCTTGCTTGGCTTGAAACATTTCTCCCTCCACTGGTTGCCTATCATACTTTCCTTGCAGTACACGAACCCATAGTTCATCCGGGCTTTTATGCATCCTCCACATTAATTTTAACAAGAAAGCTTCATTCATCAGTGAGAGTTGTTTCACTCCCTGCCCTCCTTCCACCTTCAGCTGGTAGACAGATTTCCAGGCGATTGGATGCCATTTTCTTTTTCCATCTTGTTCGCCCTATAGAAATTGTCTCTGCACCTTTTCCACATCATCAATCACTCCTTGTAGAATGTGGTCATATTGCATAGGGTAGAGTGCCCTGGATGATGTCACTGAGTTGATTAAAGTCATTCTTCCTGCCAGAGACAGGCTTGCTGCTTTGTAGCCTTGTAGCCTTTTCTGTACCTTAGACACAATTGATCTGTACTTGTCTTTGCATCTCCTGAGAAAGGAGAGTTCAGCTCCTAAGTATTTTCCTAACTCGTCAACTTGTTTGAAGTTACTCCTATTGCATATAATTTTCCTGGTGTGCGTACTTACATTTGGGGAGAAATAAATGTGAGTCTTTTCTTCGCTCACCTTGTGTCCTGAAATTTCACCAAAAACCTGCAAACATTGTACAATAATATCAATTTGGTCAAGCCTTTTCAACCCACTTTCAAGCCTTTCTATTTTCTCTCTCTCACTCTATCCATGATTAAGTGTGTGAGTTTTTCCATGCCGAGCACAAAGAGATAAGGGGAGATAGGGTCTCCTTGCCTAAGACCTCTGGTCGGGTTCATCTCTTCAAGTTTTTCTCCATGCCACAGAATCTGAATGGAAGGAGTGTGAATACACTCCATAATTCTATGGACCATCACCTCAGGGCATTCAAGCTCCCTCAGCACTTTTTCCATGAATTCCCAGCTTATTCTATCATATGCTTTCTCCAAATCAACCTTAATCACCATAAATCCTTTCCTCCCTTTTTTTCTCTTCATCGAATGTATCATTTCATTCACAATAACAACGTTATCATGAATGTTTCTTCCTAGTATGAAACTAACTTGGAAGGGTGACACTATCTTGTTCATGATGTTTTTCAGCCTTTTAACAATGATCTTGGAGAGGTTTTTGTAGATGACATTGCACAAAGAAATCGGTCTGAATTGATTGACTTTCTCAGGATTGTCGATCTTAGAGATGAGAGAGATGAGGGTAGAATTCACCTTCTTAATATTTTCAGGATTTTCCCACAAACTCCTCACCGCTTGACTCACGTTGTTTCCCACTATTGCCCATTTCTTCTGGAAAAACACTGCTAGATAGCTATCGTCTCCCAGCGCTTTTACTCCTCCTACTGGAAACATTGCTTGTTTTATCTCGGTGTCATTAATGGTTTCTGAAATTTCTTTCCATTCCTCCCCTGACACTCTCGAGCAAGTGTGATGTGTTTGTATCCAAGGTTTACTGATATTATCTTCATGGAACAGCTTCTTAAAAAATTCATTCACTATTTGACCCACTTCCACTTTACCTTCCACCCAGTTATTCGAATCATCTCTTAGCGTTGTTACTCTGCTCCTTCTCCTCTTGATATTGGTTTTTGTGTGATAGAAGGAGGTATTTCTGTCTCCCTCATTGAGCCATTTAGTTCTGGCTTTCTAAAACCAGAGGATTTCTTCCCTTTCCAGCACTTTATTAAGTTCCTCTTTAAGCTGTAATTCCAGTGATTCCAATTTCCCATGTTGTTTCCCTTGCTCCACCTTCTGAATTCCTTCTATTCTTTAGATAAGTTCTCTTTTCCTTTTTCCAATGTGGCCGAAGACATTTTTGTTCCAATGCTATAACTTTGGTGTTAGTGAGGCCAGTTTTTGTTCTATTTCCCCTGATTCAACCCAGCACATTTCCAGGAATTTTTTAAAATCAGTGTGTCTTAGCCAAGCTGCCTCAAATCTAAAGGGCTGTTTTTCTCTCCTTCCTCATTCATCTTCCAGGTGTATCAAAAGAGGGTGATGATCTGATTGAATACGAGGTCCTATCTTGACAAAAGCTTCATTGAATTTTCTTCTCCATTCACTGTTGCGCAGTGCTCTATCTAGCTTTTTATAAAGCCGACTCGCATGTCTTATAATTGGTCCTATCCAAGTGTATCTAGGTCCTTCTAATCCCATATCAATCAAATTATAAGAGTTGATGTAGTCACAGAATCTCTGGCATTTTCTATCATTCAGTCCCACACCCCCACATTGTTCATGTTGATTTTTTATATCATTGAAGTCTCCTGCTAACAACCAAGGTGAGCAATTACTTTTAGCAATGTCTTTAATTCTCTCCCATATTAATCTTCTTTCTTGTTCCCTCGGGCTAGCATAGATTGTAGTAAATCTCCAAGTATCCCTCCCTAATCCGGATATTTCGTAGTGTAAAAATTGTCTATGGGCTTCCAGCATTCTAATCTTTATTTCATCTTCTTGCCACAGGACCCAAATGCCAAATGACATACCATTAGCTTCCACAAGCAATTGTTTTTTAAAGCCCAATCGCTTAATAACCTTCTGTGCCATACTCCCACTACATCTTGTCTCTAATAACACAACAATGTTAGGACGATATTTTCGTCTTAATTCCTTACATTCCAAACCATTATCATGGAAATACTATTAGAAGTAAGGAACTTACCAGGTTAAGCATATCCTCTAATTCTGTTGAGTTAAATCACCTCTTTGACCATTGCTCGATCATTCACCTCCTTGCCCCGTGCCTAGGTCATGCTTTCCATCTCCGAGTTGCCCATTAATTTCCCTTGGTTCATTGAGTCTGGAGGTCTTCCTTCATCTAGTTCCATACTGTCTTCTTTTTTCTCGGGCAGACTCTTCAGGAAATGGGTCACAATATTTTTCTCGTGACTTTCTGCCCTCAAGTCTATTGGGTCCTGTTGATTTTCATTACATGGGTTCAGTGAGTTTTGTTGGGCTGGTCTCCTCATTATCTCCTCTTTTCTCCCTTCAGGCCCATAATTTTCCTCCCCTCTCAAGCCCATGTTCTTTTCCCTGCCATTTTTCAAATCTATTCACTTTTCTTCTCTCTCTTGGTCAGAGTCTTTTCACCTTGTCTGCACACCCTGCTTTCGACGTTGCCTTTCCCTTGGTTTCTTTCGATCCCCTTGTTCTCTCCTTTTTTTCCAGGTCTCGTCTGTTCCAATGCTCTTCTTTTTTGTACGACTCAGGCCCTGCTTCTTTTCTCCCTTCCTGACCACATTACTTTCTATCTCCTATAGCGGGCACCTGCTAATCTGCTCTGTCTCTTCTTTTTCCATAATATCCTCCTTTGACTCTAGTGCTGCATATCTCGGGGATAGCCCCACTTTAGTAGGTGTTTTGATGTCCTTTTGACAACCGTCGATTTGTTTTCCCTCTTTAGCAGTGTTCCTTCTTCCTCGTCTTGTTTCCTGTACCGTCATCCACTCTCCATAGACCTTCACCGGAGAGCTTGCCGGAAGTTTAGTCGGATGAGACCCCTCAACCACTTTTTGTTTCTACATATTTGCTAGCGCTTGATTATTCTCCTCCGGTTGCCTTTTCTGTGGACAATGGTCTTTATCATGACCGAACCTTCCACAGGAGAAACATATGAGGTGGAGGCCTTCGTATTCAATCTTCAGCTCATTCCCATCCACTGTGTATGACGAAAGCAGGGGAGCATTTAGGTCTATCTCCACACACATACGAGCATACATTGTTCTGGCTCTTAGGAGAGTCATTTCGTCTACTTTAATTGCTGTTCCTATCTTGTTTCCCAGATTGTAGAAGAACTTATTGTCATAGTAATCTCCTGGGAGTCTTGGCAATCGAATCGAGGCTACTATCTTTTGGATCTTTTCATTCCGTATGTTGAAGTTCCTTTTCCATGTTGGCACTATCAGGTAGTGGTTTGCTATTAGCCAAGGGCCCCCTTCGAGCACAAAGAAGTAATCATCGCGAGATTGGAAAGTAGCTATCATATAGCCATTTCCAATGTCCGAGAGATTGACGTTCCCTGACTTTCCCCACATAGCCTTCACCTTCGTCCTCAGTTGCATAAATCCAAGAGACCCTCCCAAGAGTTTAATGATTAGAGAATCCTGCCATTTCATCTCCAGTCTCCTTTCTTTTTCAGAAA